TTTATTGCCTCAGTTTCTTTCTTTTTAATGATGTATCAAGTTCAATTGTGCTGCCCATACTAATGAGTGTGTGGCTATCCCCTGGCATCCTTACCCTTAAAGAAAACTGGCTTTTCTTCCTAGAAGTCATCAGCAGTCAGTAGTTTCTTTGGTATGGGTGGGAGCATGTGAGCCCCTCCTTTCTCTGTGCTTGAATGGTAACTGGTCTTGTCTGTGAGCCCACGAGTGCAGAAGACATTGGTTCAGTCAGGTTGGTGATGTGTTGTTTGTGCTCCAACAAATACAGCTTGTCTGAGGATCTCAGTGTGGAAGGAGCCACTGCCACTAGTTAGCCTTAGAGGCCAGGCAGTGGAGACCTGCCCTTTGATCCCAGCATTTTGGAGACAGAGGCACGTAGATCTCTGTGAGTTCAAGGTCACTCTGGGCTAGATCTAGAACTAGATTGACCCAGTGCCAAAGAGAAATGGAGCCAAGGGGTGTTGGTTCATGCCTTTAATCCCAGCACTTGGGAGACAGAGGCAGGCGGATCTCTGTGAGTTCGAGACCAGCCTGGTCTACAAGAGCTAGTTCCAGGACAGGCTCTAAAGCGGTGGAAACAGGAAGGAATATAGCTGGGTGGAGAGAGGAATATAAGGTGGGTGGAGACAGGATCTCAAGGCATCTAGTCTGAGAATTCATGGAGAGAGGCTCTTGCCCCCTTTGGTCTGAGAATTTGGTAGAGGTTAGTGGGTCTTGCTCCTTTACTTCTCTGATCTTTTAGCATTTACCCTGTTATCTAACTCCAATTTTTTATTATTAACACCAATTAGAATTCTTGCTATAAGTCTGGTCCTTCCTGACCTCTGACTTTTACAGACATTTTTATTTTTTAAGGTTTCATTCTTTCTATAGAAAATGTTCAGATAAGGACAAAAGTAGAGACTGTAGGCATGGTGTCAGATGGTAACATCTATCCAGTCAGGAAATAGTGTAAGGCTAAACAGGACAGTGGGGTAGCAGAGGAGAGGGGTGAGCTGAGAGAAGAGACAGAAGATAATAGGTTGACTTGTGAAGTGTATCTCAGGACAAGGGCAGGAGAGCAAGTGCATGTTTGCACATGTGCTGTTACCAGTCAGGGTTGGATTTCCCAAGCATTGCAAAATCCAGTATTTATAATAAATGCCAAACCCTAGCATCACCTGAAGAGTTTTAAAATTTCCTCGATGACCTTTCTTCACGCAGGTGGCTTAATTGGCTTGTGAGACAGAGCTGGCTGACCAGTGCTGCTTAGCTGAGTGGTGAGTGTGGAATGCACACTCCTCTGCTGGCTTTGTGTGGTGTACCCCAAGCATCTGCTGTTCTTAGTTGATTACAGCCCTGTCTTTTAAAAAGCTTTAATCCTCCCCTGAAACATCCTTTCCATAAATGGTTGAATTAAAATAAACATAGGGGCCACATGCTATAGAAGTTATAATGGCACAACAGTTTTGAATAAAGAGGAGAGATTTCCTAACCAAGACAAGTGTTTCTTGCACTCTGTGGTTGGACTTTAGTGCCCTCTCTTGGCTGTTTGCTCTAAGGCAACATCTCACAGTTTTCTTTATCAAAAGGGGAGACATGAGAGATGACCAGTGGGTAAAGGCACATGCTGCTCAGCATGATGACCCAAGAAGGAGGAACCAACTCCAGCAAGTTGTCTGCTGATATTCTCTCTCTCTCTCTCTCTCTCTCTCTCTCTCTCTCTCTCTCTCACACACACACACACACACACACACACACACACACACAGTGGTGAAAGGTGATGATAAGGATGTTAAAGTATGCTTGCAGGGCCCTACATTTCAGTGGCAATCTTCAGAAATATTTATACCATCTTTACGTGTTTTGATATAGCACCTTTAGGATATTATGAATTGTTTTCAGGACATGTAGAGAAGCAGCTTGGGTCAGGATGATGCTTGAGCACTTTTTATGCAGTAAAGCCTCACAACGCAGCCGTCCCAGTAGGCAAGAGCAGCTGCTGCCTTGATGGTCATGCAGAAATCACCTGCTCGTGATAGGATGTGGGAAACCACACAGTAAGGAACATTATCCCTAGAAGCACAGTGGCAATTAGACATGATGAGAATCTTCACGGTGGTGTGTTCGTGCATGCGTGCATGCATGTGTGTGTGTGCACATTCACTTAATATTTCTATAAGACACAAAGGAGCAATTTTTGGATTCTGACCTCCAGGAAAAAGGGGTAAGATATTTTGAATAACTAGGACACCAAGCCTGAATACATTTTAGTAATCAAGTGCACCTGGCCCTCATTTGTGTTCTAAAGAAGACAATGTTCCTTGTAAACAAGTACTCACATGACTTTTCTGTAATAAATAAAACTCATTATCTTTTCATAGCAGAACTATTTTAATGGTTTCCCAAAGAATCTTCCTTATTATATAATGATAGTCTTTCTAAAAATTGTATCTGTCAGGTACAGTTGGAACATGCTCATTCACCTTTTCAAGTTTCTGATTCAGCGATATATGAAATGATGTCGCGTATCCACACGAACTTAGAAAAATCATTTACTTTTTGTATATTTTCCTGTTAGAGTCTTTCCAGTAGTGTTTAGTGCTCATTAGTAGGCAGCAACGGCAGCTTCCTCTGTGCATTTCAGGTTGTCCCCTCCCCTCCCAATAAAAAAGCCTTTTATCAAAAACTGACTTCCCAAATGAAGGACATAATTGTATAGCTTATTTATTAGTGTGTCAAACTTAAAATGTAATGGTTTCATATTTCAAAATGAAAGCACGTTGTGATTCATGGTAGCTGGTGGCAAAGTGGACAACTCTTTCCTATGGCTGCTTTGATTGCTTGTGGATACACCGGGTTTTCTGAGTACCTCTGCTCTCTTCCTATACAATAGCTCCCTCTACTTGAAATTGTCAGTGTAAGTATAGTTTAACATTACATACCTTACTCAAAATCCCTTGGCTTTTGTTTTTTATTTTAGTTCTCTTGCTGAATATGTAGTATTGAATACTAGATTATTCCAAGGGTCTGGTCACTTCAGACAGGCAAGGTCAGTTGAGGAACAAAACAGTAAGAATTGTGTTTGAAAACTTTGTTTAAAGATTTAGCTATGTAACCTTTTTTGATGTCAATATGTGTACTTTGTTATAATTCCATTCAGCGCTTTGAAAAGGATGTTACTGTCTAAAGCACCAAGATGTGGAAAATAACCAGAAATCTTCAAAAGTTCTAGTAGCACTCCTCAGATTCAGCCTGCATTTTGGCAGATTTTTACTCTGTTAATTCAGGGTTACAGTTGTACCACAATATCTGGCGGTCCCTTCTCCTTCTTCTCTCAGAAAGAATCCAGTAGCAGCATCAGCAGTAGAATCCTGTTCTGCTGTCGTGACCTGTGTAGAATGGTAAATGCAAATATTCTGTGGCTGGTTAATAAAGAAGGCTTGGCAACAGTGCCACATCATATACCCACTCCAGCAAGACTAACAGAGCTCTACTGGGCAGTAGGATATCAGCAGGGTGGCATTCCTTCATTCAGAGTTCTTCCTGACAGTTATCACGATACAGAGGAAACAGCAGAGATTGGTGGGCAGAAGGAAGGACTGCTTGGCTGAAGTCTGACTCTACCCCTAAACAGCAGCCAGTGGTTTCCAATTTCCTTAGCTTTCTCAGCATCACTTTCTGTCATCTGTCAAATTCACAGTAAGCTGGGTATGGTGACTCACACCTGTAATCATAGCAATCAGTGAACTGAGGCAGGAGGATTACTTTGAGTTCCAGATTAATAGTTCTACAGAGTAGTATTTCCTCAGGCAGAAGCATTGGTAAGTCTGCTATCTTCTGTGCTCAAATAAAGCAGTACAGGCTTCTCCCACTGGATGAGAAACCTTCATGTTGGCTTGTTCATGAATTCCCTTCATGTATATAGGAATCATTCCTATAAGGCCATTAAGCTTAGTCATAATTTTGATTATTTTAAAATATATACTGTAAGCACATACATGTATGTGTGTTGCTGATTGTGTTGAAGCTAATCTCATACCAGGCAAGCACTTTGCCACTGAAGATTTATTCATTTTTGTATGTGTGGGTCTGTGTCATATGAGTGTATGTGTCGGTAAGGAACACACACCTGTGCATGCTTCAGACGCCAGAAGAAGGTGCCAAGTGCCCTTCTCTGTCACTCTTGCCTTTTTCTTTGAGACAGGCCTTTCCTTGAATCTTGGACTAAGTCAGGAAAACCCAGAAATCCTCGTGTATCTGCCCCACTTGGAATTGGGGTTATAGGTATTTTCAGCGACATTCAACTTGCTATGTATGTACTGTGCTTCAAAACCCTGTTCCTGTGATTTTGGAAGTGCTCTTAGCTGCTGAATCATCTCTCCAACTCCTAAATACACTTTTTAAATGATCTCTCTCTCTCTCTCTCTCTCTCTGCCTCTTTTTTTCTTTTTCCTCCTCTTCCTCCCCCTCTTTCTCCCTCTCCCCCTCCTCCTCTCCCTCCCCCTCCTCCTTTTTCTCCTTCTCCTCCTCCTCCTCCTCCTGAGCTTACGTGGCTTTCTCAAAGGATGTCGTATTTGCTCAGTTGAATGATGGAGTGTTCTTTCCCACTTTATTCTCCTCTTAGAGCCTACATATAGACCAAGGGGAGTCATAGATAGCCATGGATTTGTTCCACAATATAATTATGGCTAGAGAGTGTCAGAGAATCTTTCCTAAGTGTTCCCAGATCTCTTGTGGTCAATCACCAAATGTTTAAAGGACAAATTTACATGTATTGAGCACACAGACATGCAGATGAAACTGGTAAGTTTATATCTTCACTTTGATATAAGCTGATGTTATAGGATATATAGAGTAATGTTTTCATTGATTTAAACCTCTATAGAGTGTCAGCAGAGTGCTGGCCCCATGAGATAACAAATCAGATTTGTTAAAGGTAAGCTTTCTTAAACCTGCATAGTTATTTTCAGGGACCTGACTTTCTTTTATTTAATTTCTAGGACCCCTTGGATCCCACACGCTCAGTGATTGTGATTCGGTCCTTGGTAGCAGATGGTGTAGCAGAAAGAAGCGGAGAACTTTTACCAGGAGATCGCCTTGTCTCTGTCAATGAGTTCTCTTTGGACAATGCCACACTTGCTGAGGCTGTCGAAGTGTTGAAGGCTGTGCCCCCAGGTGCTGTGCACCTTGGCATCTGTAAGCCTTTGGTGGTAAGTTTTGAATTCAGTTAATATAAGAAGTGATAACAGTGCAGTAGTTAGCAACATGAATCTGGAAGACAAATATTTCTCAACTATAAGGTTTGAATAATAAGGGATATAAAACTAGTACAGTAAAGAACATGGACTAGGGGAAGCAGATGTACCTGGATGCGAAATCTGTCTCACATTGCTTCCTATGTGTGTGACCTCATGCAAGTTTAAACAGAGACTCCTTGTTCGTTTCCGGTCACCTAGACCTGAATAATTTTGCTCCACAAAATAATAGAAATGGGTTAATTTAAGATATAAGAGCTAGCTAGAAATACGCCCTAGTTTTTGGCCAAACAGTGTTGTAATTAATATAATTTCTGTGTGATTATTTGGGTCTTCTCAGCCAGGAAACAAATGCACAGTCTCTGCTTCTATGCAAGTTTCTTTTCTTTTTCTTTTTTAATTTTTTTAAAACTCAGATTTATTTCATTTAAGTGTACAGGTGTATGGTTTTGCATGTGAGTGCAGTGCCCACAGAGGCCAGAAGAGGGCATCAGAATCCCTGGAGCTATAGTTAGAGGTGATTGTAAACCACCCTATGTGGGCTCTGGAAATCAAACTCTTGTTCTGAAAGAGCAGTAAGCAGTCACAAGTTTCTTAATGTCCTTGACTTACAACATGACAAGTTTCAGGAATAAAGGCAATGTCATCAGCTGTGACAGTTAGTTATTGCTCACTGCTGGCGTGTCTAACCTTGGTTCTGCCACTTGTATTACCATAGTACCTTCAGGTTTTTAAAACCGACTCCTAAGTTCTATTCATATTCCTTATATGTAAATGAAAATAAATAATTTTGCATTTTAATTTTAGAGCAGTGGTTCTCAACCTTCCCAATGCTGTGACCATTTAACACAATTGCATGCATGTTGTCGCCACCAACCACAATTATTTTGTCGCTGCTCCACACCTGTAGTCGTGCTGCAGTCCTGAATCACAATGGAAATATCTGACATGCCAGATAACTGATATGTGAAAGGGTCCTTCGACCCCAGATGGGACTCAGCCCATAGGTTAGGAACTACTATTTTAGAATGATGTTAGGTACAATGAACTGAAAACCGTATTATTATTATTTTGGTATGGGATTTCTTTTTCGAGTCAGGGTTTCTCTGTGGCTTTGGAGCCTGTCCTGGAACTAGCTCTTGTAGACTAGGCTGGTCTCAGCCTCACAGAGATCCGCCTGCCTCTGCCTCCTGAGTGCTGGGATTGAAGGCGTGCGCCACCACTGCCCAGCAGAGACGTTTTTATATGTTCCTGTCACCATCAGTCATCAGCATGTCTGGTGACCCCTAGTACTGATAATTGTTCTGTAGTCAGACTGTCTTGACGTCATCTTACGGTTTGATGTGCTATGTCATGTTACTGTTCTTGACTGTTGGTTCCTTAACATTTTGTTGTTGAGGTTCTCAGTGTAAAACAAATACTTGATTATTTTCATCTAGTTTTAAATGAGCATTTACTATATATCACCACATATTTTAAGCCTATCATATATATTAGAGTCCTCCTCTTGTCATTCTCATTACAGATGAGCCAGTGGAGACACAGAGAGTTGACTAACTTTTCTAAAGTTTTGTGATTAGTAATGGATGGGGTGAAAATATGAACGGGGGGGGGGGGGCAGTTTCAAGCCTTGTGTTCCTCCTTAGCTACAGCACTATGAAATCTTGTTGTTATGATTTCCTGTTTAGTTTGTGTGCACTATCTGAACAATCATTTGGTTGTGGTAGGTTGTCAGATGAGTCTCAGGAAGCCCATCCTAGCTTTTCACTGAATAACCCAGTGCGTTCCAGATGCAAAGGCTCATAAGCCTCGTAAGAGTCCACTGGGAGACGTTGAGATGGAGACCATTGAATTCTTCACAGTCTTCCTCCCAGTGGCTCATCTACATGCTTCTGATGCCGAATATTTCATTTCACAGATGGTGATTAAGTAGACTAAAAAGAATCAAATATTCTTTGAGTCTTTTATAAAAATGTTTAATAGAATGAGCAAGACTAAGGTCTTTTCATGATTCTAAAATTCTTGTAATATGTGAAATATATTAGCATGCAACATGATAATAGTTCAGGCACCTCACTGGTTTGATAGATAGTGGCAGTTATATTTGTGTGTGTGTGTGTGTGTGTAGTGAACAATGTATTGCACTAAATGTTTTTGCATTAGGAACCTGCTATGTTGCCTTTGGACTGCTTTCTACATTTTTGTTGCTGGTGATTGATCCCAGGGCCCTCCTATGCACATACCCTCCCATCATTACATTTTCTTGTTCTTCCTATATTATACACCAGAATGTCTGGATCTAACACCTGTCAGTTACTTTAAATCTTTGAGAATTGAGTCTAGTATATGACTAACTAAGTGCTTGACATTTTCATATGTGAAATGTACTGCCATAGACAACAGATGGTAAGATGAAGAACTCAGGGTGATTTTGGATAAATTAAGGAGGGAAAACATTAATATTTTTATAAGTTTCATCTTTTTAGGTTGTAGCAAATATTTTGTCTATATTTTCTCTGATAATTATTTGCTAGTTTAACCTAACTACATGTAACCTAACCTTCCCTTTTCAGCAGCTTTAGGAAGGCTGAGGCAGTGTGAAAACACAGAACTTCTTACCACAGAGTGTGCCTACTGTGCTACTTCCAGCTGAGAGAGGGCACTGCTTGAGAGGGTTCGCAGCCTCACCATGAGCTGGAACTTCCTCAGAGTCTGAGGCTGCCAGGGTAGTTAGGGAAGGGAGGCCAAGATGAAGGGAAAGTGACTGGGATGGTAGAGTGTTCCAGATAGACAGGGCATGGTGATATATGCCTGTGCAGAGGCAGGAGGAATGAAAGTAAGAATAGCCAAAGCCAGGCTGGAGCAACAAGACTGTAGATACGTAGCAGGCCAGAATGACTTTCATTCTATTTAGCCGTAAAATAACTATCCTCATAAAACTACAATGATATATTGTCATGTTATCTGTGATAGCAATTTATCTTTTCTTTTGCTTATTTCAAATATACTAGATTCAAAAATCAATGAATCGGCTTTAAAAATTATACTGTGTCTTTGGCACTAGGCAGACCCCACACTGACCTGGAACCCTTGGCTGTAGAGCTTTCTTTGTGGTTCTAAGGCTGTGCACCACGAGGCCTCTTTACCCCACTCCCACCTTGCTGAGGATTACATGGAGTGGTAATTGAGAACACGGGCTCTGGCGTCAGATTCTGGACTTGAAGCTATAGAGTGACTAGTGCTGATTGAGCCCTTTCCTCAGCAGAAAGGCGCCCTCTCATAGAGTGTCTGTTAATGACTAGCACGTTAGTGGTAAGTCCCTAAGCCTATGCACAGAGATCACGTCATAGCTCTATCTGCAAAGCCTTTTCCTTGGTGACTAGTTTTTCCTTAAAGAATACTTAAAGTTGATCAGTTTTGGCCTAAGGTTCATAGACTTTCCATTGTGGGTGAAAGTTTGCTTTGTTCATATTTGCATAGACTTTGTTGAGTGATTGCACTGGATGAGAACTATTGAAGAGAAGTTAAAACTGAAGAATTTTCTTGATCATAAATTGGTTGTTATTTTCAGGAAGGTGAGAAGGAAGGAAGTTGTTTTATTTTACATTCAAACAACAATGAAGACAACAATGAGCCTTCAGAAGCTGTTGATGACATACATTCATCTATAATCCTTGAAGCACCCAAGGTATTTGCTAAATTTATTTGCCTTTTCAGTGATTTTTTTTGTATGTTAAAGTTAATATAAAGACACAAGCTTGTCCCCACTCACTCAGCTAAAGTTACAAATTAAATACATGCCCCCCACACCTCTGTAATCACTGGTATGCCCTACCAGCTTCCTTCTGTTTAATTAGTATTTTTAACTTAAATTTTTCATTTAGTCTTACATTGTCAATTTAAATGACAGAAGATGTAAGGCATTTTCAAAAAACAAACACTGGGGTTAGCAGAATGGCTCAGTTGTGGCACTTAACACCACACCTGACCTAAATCCAATCCTGGAGCCTACAAGGTGAAAGAAGAAAGGTGAGATCCACAAGTTGTCCTCAGACCTCCACACATGTGCTGAGGCACACACCTTTCTCCCCCCAAATTAACAAAAAACATGTTTAAAAGAACAAACATTTTTATGCATTATTATAAACCTAAAATTTGGGAGAAAGAATATATTGAAAATAGACATCCATGTAAAATGTAATAGAAAATGTAGCTAAACATGCAACTTCATAATTGAATACTTTACAAAGTATCTACTCAACCCCCTTAGATACTGTAATCATAGACAGACTATGTTAAGCTTCCCCTTCTATTCCTAAAGTCTACTGTATTTTTTGTTTTACTTGATAGCAATTGTTTAGTACCATTCCTGTCATATTATGTACAGTGTCTCAGGCTGATAGGAAGTCCCATAATGTCCATCACACTTTTAAAAGTTTAGACACTGTGTTAAAATTTTATAATCATAATATTTTCAGATATATCCTGTGTCTCTGACTGTTTTGAATCACGTTGCAGTATTGGTTCAGTGTTTCAGTGTGAAGTTTCAGCATGTGGTGTTGAGTTATAAGAAGAAAACAGAGGGGGGGTTGATTATAGGAATTTACACTAGGTAGTTCTTAATGGGTGGGGCTTACAGTAGGAATGAGTGTTGATCCACAGGGGATTAGGCCTCTGTGCTCGACAGCCACAGGCTCACTAGAGTTAGGACAGAGGCTCAGCAAAAATCACACTGGATTCGTTCCTCTTTATCATATTCTCAGTAGGTGAAAAGTCTTGTTTCTGTATTTTGGCTTATTAGAAACAAATTATACTCGAAGTACTTGAGACATATAGTGCTGTATTTCATTTAAGAACGTTTCTGTTTGTTTTGTTTTTAAGAGCAAGAGGTATAGCCAGCAGCAGAATAATCCTACCTCAAAATAAAAGAGAATTGCTTTGAACATTTTTACTTCTTTTGAGTTTCTCAGTCTTGGCCACAGTGAGTTTTTCAGTCTTTGTTGTCTTAAGTATGAAGTGACTTTGCATTTATGAGTTACGTTTTGTGTTAGGGACGAGTTGCATATTTGGTACAGCATTTTAGCCTAAATATCTCCTGATGATGGAGAACTGTTGGGTAGTTAGTTATTACATGATGAAGCTGTCAGTTCATCGTGGCAGTGCAGGCTTCTGCCTCTTTACTCCATGTCTAATTTCTGAACCATGCAGAATGAACTGCAGCTTCTTGTTTGGTGATGCAGAAGCTCAGCTGGCTTTGATCATGCATTGAGTAAGGCGCTCTACTGCAGTTAGGTTGACACTTTTTCAGGTTGAGGTGTATCGTGCAACTTTAAGACAAGTGGAACATAACATTTTTTTATAAACTTTTATTTACAGGGATTTAGAGATGAGCCATATCTTGAAGAACTTGTGGATGAACCATTTCTAGATATGGGAAAGTCTTTGCAGTTCCAACAAAAAGAAATGGACACCAGCTCAGAAGCCTGGGAAATGCATGAATTTTTGAGCCCTCCACTGGAGGGAGGGGGTGAGGAAAGAGAGATGCTTGTAGATGAGGAATATGAACTCTATCAAGATCACCTCCGGGCCATGGAGTTAAACCCACTACCACACATTCAGGAGGTCCGGCATGCACCTTCCAGGCAGGAACTCCAGGTTGGCACACAGTGGCTGCATGCTAGCCTTTCAGGAGATGAAGCTCCCGAGTGTCAAGATCCAGAGTCTGGGCGGAGTTTATATTCCCAGGAAATGCAGCAGTGCAGCTACAACACTGCAGACATGGTACGACTTTGCTACTCAGCCTCCAGCCCCTTCCTGCTCCAGCCCTCCCTTACTTGTGTTACTTCCACAGATAAAGTAGAAATGAAATGGGCTTTGTAAGCTAGGATGGCTTACAAGATGCACTACCAAGAGTATAGTGAGCACATGAGGTCATCCTATTCATATTACACTGTTGTGTGTGTATGTGTGTGACATTTTTCTTCTAATTTCTTAGTTCAGTAAAGAGTTCTTTTAATCATTAAGATCTTCTTTTAAATTCCCTTAGGGAAACATGGCTATATGTTTTTTGTGTAGTATATTTGTCAGGGTAAATCAAAGGGAAATGAGCTCAAAGTGAATTATTGTTTATATCTGTGCTGGCCACAGCATTCTCTGTGCTTGTTTGTGATGCATCAGTAGTGTGTGCCAGATAGTCACTTTCAGGCTTGTGACTGTGCCTATTTACAACTTGGCAAGAAGCATTACCTTTTAATAGGTTTATTCTTACTTTTATATTAACAGTAAACTTGATTTTTTTTATTAAAAATTTCCGCCTCCTCCCCGCCTCCTTTTTCCCCCTCTCCCCCCGACTCCCCAACCTCCATTCCCCTCCCCCTCCCTCCAGTCCAAAGAGCAGTCAGGGTTCCCTGCTCTGTGGGAAGTCCAAGGTCCTCCCCCCTCCATCCAGGTCTAGGAAGGTGAGCATCCAAATAGCCTAGGCTCCCACAAAGCCAGTATGTGCAGTAGGATCAAAACCCAGTGCCATTGTTCTTGACTTCTCAGCAGTCCTCATTGTCCACCATGTTCAGAGAGTCCGGTTTTATCCCATGCTTTTTCAGTCCCAGTCCAGCTGGCCATGGTGAGCTCCCGTTAGATCAGCCCCACTGTCTCAGTGGGTGGGTGCACCCCTCGCGGTCCTGACTTCCTTGCCCATGTTCTCCCTCCTTCTGCTCCTCATTTGGACCTTGGGAGCTCAGTCCGGTGCTCCAATGATCAAGTAAACTTGATTTTTAAATAAAATTATAGTTAATTAGTTGCCTGTTGAATTTTTAATGTTTTTTTTAATTTGTTTATTTTTTTGGCCTGAATTAATTTTCAAACAAATGAGAAGAAAGTTAGTATAGATGGTGTTTTTGTTTATTTAGTTCAGTTTTAGTTTTATTGTGCCTATAGGTATTTTGTCTGCATGTGTATATATGCACCATGCCCATGACTGTTACGGGAGAGGCTAGACAGGATGTCAGGTCCCCTGGAACTGGATTTACAGATGCTTGTGAGCTGCCATGTGGACTCTGGGAATTAAACCAGGATCCTCTGCAAGATCAGCAAGTGCTTTTAACCACTGAGCCACTTGACTTCCCTAGGGGGTATCTTTTAAAGGCATGCTGATATTGTGCTCTCACATAGGCCCTTGCTCCCTGTGCTCAGTCTGATTCCTTTCTGTGTGTTGAGCAAAGCAAGCAGAAATTGGGCCTTTTCCTTTACCTTCCTTGGACATTTTTGTCTCTTTCGCTCCTGAAAATCCTGTGGGTCCCCCTGCTGGGCAAGGTGCTATCCTAGCTATATTAATGAAGCCTCAAGGATTCCCCACAGCAGAAGGTTCTGAGTAACCTACCAGGGAACAGATGCTTTTAATTTGTAAATGATCTTGGATGTGGGAAGTAGTGACACAGAGTTGCCTGGTATACTCTAGTGACAATGGCTTTCTCTCTTTGCCAGCTCTTCCCTGGATCCTAAGTGCTCAGTTTCATTCTGACTATTCATAATACACAAGCATACTAGAATTAGAGATTACTGAACATGTGCACACATTCTTGCTGTGGCTGATTTTTCCCATAAAAAGAAATTTATTTATCTAAATAAAAGACAATTTGAAATATTGGTCCCTTTCGAGACAAGGGAAGAAATACAAAAATAAATATTCGGAATATTTACTCCATATATTTAGTCAAACATTCATATCTTAAAAGTTGTATTGGGTTAAATTTTTGCATATATGCATCTTTAATTGTAATTTCATTCAAAGTATTTGAGTATATATTTAATGCCTATTTCTGTTCACAACAATCACTTTCAGATCATTCAACACTTTCCCAAATACATCATCTTCATTTTTATGTAGCTTGTTTGAGATACAGCATTCTTTAATTTATATTTGTTAGTTTGCTTTTGACTGCTGTGATAAAACACACTAGCAAAGGTCAGCCTAGAACAGGAAATGTTTGTTTCTGCATGTATTTCCAGGCCCCAGTCCATCAAGGCAGGAACTGAAGCAGAAATACGGCTCGTTGGCTTGTTCTCTGGCTCATACTCACCTAGCTCACCTCACACAGCCCAGACCATCTGACTGGAAAGCTGAGGGCCTACATGTTAGGCTTCAAGAGCAGGACTGCACTGGGAATGGCTCCAGGCTTGGAAACCTGAAAGCTTTCCCACAGCAAGGCCACATGTCCTAAACCTACCCACACAGCACTACCAAAAAGGGATCAGATGTGTATATTCAACCATCTGAACCTTGGGACATCCTCATTGAAACCAGCACAGTGCCTGGCTTCTGTCTTGTTTCCCTTCTTAATTCAGTATCTTCTTACTATAACCATTTTCTTATATAGAAAGAATAACTTAGACCTCTAAATAAAAATCAGCCCAAAGAACTGGTCCATTTTTACACATAAACTGTTAAGGTTATAGATTAAAATAGCCAAATGTGTGTTTATAGTATTTACCCTTAACCATTCATATTTCAAAATCTATAAAATGTTAAGTTTTTACTTCTCACATTGAATTATATGAGTTAATGTTATAGGACATATTAATGAAGATTATTTCAGCTCTCATATATTCTGAAAAACTACCACTTGATTCTCTTCAAATTATTTCATGTTCTTACTTGGCATTAATTCCCTTCTACAGTAATGGCAGGATAGGCTTTGCATCTTTATTTGCTTCTCAGTAGTGATAGATTTTGTAAGGCCTTATTTGCAATATACAAATAATACCCAAGAAATTCAAATGTTGATCCTCCACTACCCATATATTCTTATTTTATTTAAGAGGTGAATCATCTAAGTTTCTAGACTCTCCCCCCCCAAAAAAAATTGTGTTAATATCTATGTTTTGTACCTTTTTGGTATATAGGTTGGTGGCATTAAATACAGTTACACTGTTGTGTATCCACCATCTCTGTCCATCCCAGGACCCCATTAGAAACACTGAGACCACCAAACAATAAGTGCCCTCCCCTTGCCCATCATTCCCTGGCACTAACTGTAATTCTGTCTTCTTTTTAAGAATTGACTATTACATGGGGTGGTGGTGGCACATGCCTTTAATCCCAACACTCCAAAGACAGAGACTGGTGGATCTCTTGTGAGTTCGAGGCCAGGTTGGTCTACAGAGCAAATTTCAGGACAGGCTCCAAAGCTACACAGAGAAACCGTGTCACAAACAAAAAAGACAGGAAGTTGTGAACATTATCATTATGTCTGGCTTTCTTTACTTATCATAAGCTCCTTATGGTTCATTCATGTTGCAGTATATGTCAGACATCCTCATTAAGGCAGAATAATTTACCCTGCATGTCTCAATCAGAAATCCTCTGCTTTTCTCAGGTTAGACCTAGGAGAATATAAGTTCAAGTGAGAGAAGACATTAACGGAGAACAAGGAAAGGTGTTTGTAGGAAGAACAAATAAGTTTGTTTGGGAAACACAAATGAACTTTTAGGGGACAATCCTGCGATGCGGGAATTTGTGGCAGTATTTATTTCTTTAGGTGTCAGTGGTGCTTGTAGATGGAAGTTTCTGTTCCACCCAGTTCCGTAGCCATTCAGTCCCAAATAAACATGCAGAGACTTATATTGGTTATAAACTGTTTACTCAGGCTTCTTACTAACTACTTCTTACAACTTAGCCCTTAATTCTTTTTTTTTAATGATTTATTTTATTTTATGTGCGTTTGTGTTTTGCCTACACGTATCTGTATGAGGGTGTGAAATTACTTGGAGATAGACTGCAGACAGTTGTGAGCTCTCATGTGGGTGCTGGGAACTGAACCCTAGTCCTCTTGCAGAACAGGCAGTGTTCTTAACCGCTGAGCTATCTCTCCAGCCCCAACCCTTAATTCTTATCTATGTTTAGCCATGTGCCTTGGTACCTTTTCTCAGTGAAGCATTCTCTATTTCTTTTTTATTTTATTTGCATTGATGTTTGGCCTGCATGAATGAGGGTGTTGTAAGCTGCCATGTAGGTGCTGGGAATTGAACCCAGGTCCTCTGGAAGAGCAGCGAGTACTTTTAACTGCTGAGCCATCTCTCCAGCCCTCAGTAAATTAGTCTCATCTTGCTTCATCTGCATCTTGCTCACAACTAAGTCTCCGCCTTTCCTCTTCTCACAATTCTCCTAGTCTGGTTGCCCCGCCTATACTTCTGCCTGGCTAGTGGCCAATCATTGTTTTATTAAACCAATATGAGTGGCAAATCTTTACAGTGTACAAGAGCATTACCCCACAGGAGGTGCTGCCGTCTGCAGGCATGCATGTGTATTAGGCCTACTGTTATTTCTGGGCGTAAACCCAATTGCCTTGACATGTGACAGCTTATTTCTCACAAATGGCTTCTTGACATCCCCTACCCCCTGCCTTTGTCCCTTTTGAGACAGGGTCTTACTGTGTAGACCAGGCTGTCACCAGCCCTGGAATCAACTTAACCTCTGGTTCTCAGGTGTTGACCTCATAGGCATGTGTCACCAGCCAGCTAAAGCTGCTGCTTTCAGTCATGTGAGGAAAGTTCTAAAGAAGGGATCTTTTTGTATCTTCAAAACATGTGATATCTTTACCTTAAGGTCATGTTTGTAGCAACTCACAGTTTCTGAGAATGTTCACACATGTGCCACATTTTAGATTTCCTCATAGGTATTGGGTATCGAACCAAGCTCCTCTAAGAGCTGTGATGATTTTAGCTACTGAGCCATGAACAGGACCAGGAGGTTGTTCTTGAGTGACAGGATCCTGAGAAAGAGGACAATGAGATCAGAAGATAACGATAGAAGATAGAGAAGATAAGAAAGTCTGAGGCTGGGAGGTCTTGTACAAGCTATATCTTACACCAAACTAGTTTATTACTATTTCTAGGGCAGAAACGGGATAGGGAAAGCAGTGTACCATACGATGGGACTAAGTTGGCAGGAAGCTAATTAAACAGTGTTGCACAAGGGCAGCACAGGGATCTCAGGAGCGTTATAAACTAAGCACACAGCAGTCCTGGGACTGATAACCAGAGCCAAATGTGGTAGCTTGGTTGGGTTCTTGGGATCTGAAGCCACAGTTCCCCCAAGGCCCTGGCTTCAGGCCATTACCAGCCTTGCCAGTCATATTTTGGCTTTAGAGATGGAGATATGTTTCTTCTCTATACGTAAGAGCCTCAGGGAAAGCCGAGGTTGATCAATCCAGCCCTCAAGAGAGTCATGTCTCCACTCCTCCACCCTTATTGTTCATGGATAATGTTACTCTAAGTATTGGTGTGTGAATAAATACCTCTTCAAGTTTTGTTTTCAGTTTTCTTAGGTTGCCAGTCTAAATCACAATTGGAAATTCTCTAAAGGATCCTGGTGTTTATTTGGGAATAACAGCATTACTGTGGAAGTGCACAGGTCACAGTGACCAGTAAGCATTTTCAAGTACTCCAAGGCAGGTTTTTAAGAGAGAGACATTGCAATTACAGTCTATTGAATATGGAGTTTGTGGACTTGAAGTCCTAAAGCAGGAGCTGGCCCAGCTTATTAGTGGAAATGCTTAGTAGGCAAGTATTCTGGCAGACGTGCCCTGCCTGAACTACTGCAGAGTCAGAGTTGACAAATGAAATCTGCATGTTTGTGGGGCATGTAAAGCATTGGTGTGAATGAAGGTGACACTTAGGAATGTGTTGGGAATAGATGAGCATGATGGGGCATGGGGTACATGAGCCCAGTGTTTGTAATCCCCTCATTTGGGAAGTGGAGGCAGTGCGTTAGTTACTGACCTTTTTCCTGGGAGAGGATAGACACCTCTATCTAAGAGGGTTGCTTTGGCTTGTGGTTTCAGAGCGATTTCTACCTCTTTATTATAGCAGGGAAGGCACAATGGTGAGAAAAGTTCTTGGTGGCAGGAATATGTGGGAGAAACTTGTTCAGTGGTGGTGTGAACAGGGAACAGAAAACACAGGCTGGAGCCAGAGGTGGCTGGAGCTTTTGACACTCCTCCCTAGTGATCAGCTGCTATCAGCCAGGGCCTGCCTCCTTAAGGCCTTAATGGCCTGTAAGGACATTTCAGATTTAAAACAGTACTGGCTGGCTGTGAGTTCTACTTTCTCTTGCCTTAGACCTCTTTGAGTGTTGGAGTATAGAGCTGAAATTATAGACGTGTACCACCACACCTACCTTATTATGACTGATTTGAATTTTGTTAATTAGTGATTAGTAATGTTAAGCGTGTTATTATGTGTTCATTGACCCAATATGTTCTGTGCAAAAACCTACAATGCAACCATCAGCCCATTTTTTAAAGGTCTTGTTTTTTTATGTTTGTTTATGGGTGTGTTTTGTTTTGTTTTGTTGCTTCAGGATTATTTACCAGAATGACAATATATTCATTTTTTTTCTCTGTTTATAAAAAACCCAAATTCAATTTTCTAAAGATTCAACCATTCAAATTGCTTTACTGAGGGCTGGAGAGCTAGTTCAGCAGTTAAGGGCACTGGTTGCTCAGTCTCAGTACCTACTAGGCAGGCACCAAGGTGCCCAGATCATTCAGGCAAAATACCCAAACACATAAAACAAACATAAAATTCCAGATCTGCTTTACTGAAATCCAGATTTGGGATGGTTTTTCTTGCTTACCAGTTACCATTAACAGAATTGCCACTGACCATATCAAATAATTGCAAAATGTTTTCCTTTTTTTTTTAACTACTGCCTTCCATCTCCTTGTTTCCCTCTCTGAGAAGTTATTGCTCCTTTTATTCCAGTCAGACAGACAATCACACCTTACTTCTTGTCACCTTCATGTAATATTTGAGTTGCCTGGTACATTGTCAGCTCCACTGGGCTCTGTGTTACCATGAGTTGTTTTGTTTGGGAAAGCTGCCAGGAATTAGCCTAGCATTCCATCAGTGTGCCTTCTCTATTATTGAAGTCTGAGTATTATAATTATATAGAAAGTAGATCATTAGAAAATCTAAACTTCTGGCTGGGTGGTGGTGGCACACTCCTTTAATCTCAGCCCTCAGGAGGCAGAGGCAGGCAGATCTCTGTGAATTTGAGACCAGCCTGGTCTACAAGAGCTAGTTCTAGGACAAGCTCCAAAGCTACAGAGAAACCCTGTCTCAAAAACAAAACACAAAAAAAAAGGAAAGAAAATATAAATTTCCTATTTTTATTTGAACCGGCAAAATCTAAAATCTCCAACAATAAAAAACAGTGGTACCCTGCATGGTGGTACATTTTTGTAATTCCAACAGTCAAGATTTGGAGGTGGGAGTATCACAAATTGAGGTTATCTAGGCTTATAGAGCTGAACTCTGAATGCAAAAGGTAAAACCAAACATGCTTTTTACAAAATGCTATTCACTTAAGTTAGTTAAATATATTTATATAGTGAATATAAACTTTTAATTTATACTCAGAAATTTATGATTTATATTCTATATCTGTGTCTGTGAGCTGCTATAACAAACATACCATTTACTGAACTGACTTTTTAACATCAGAAATTTATGTCTTCCCTTCTGGAGGCTGAGAGATCTAAGGCCAACGTGTCAGTACTTCAATGCTTTGGAAGGGCTCGATTTAGGGTTTATAAGTAGAAGTTTCTATAAGGAGTCATCTAGAAATCTTCATTGGGCCTTTTCTTTCAGGTCTCCGATTTCCTTCATAAAGGCTTGGCTTCCATGAACTGGAAGCCTGGAGGCCTGCCTCCTACAATCTCTGCTTGGAAGCTGTGGGGACAGACAGATCCTGTTTCCAACTGTGCAGAGCCCTGAAGTTAAACTGCATTAAGATAGATCAACAAGAGAAAAGAATACATACTTATATCACAAGTTTATATAGCACGGGAGCCCCATAAGGGAAGAACCAAAGAAGCTATAGAGTCAGTTACTGAGATATAGAGTTGCCAATAAATAATATGTTGTGAAAGTATAACTTAGTGCTAGGCGGAGGCTTAAGGTTTCCAATTTTTATGCTTGAAGACGAAAATGTTGCTTTCCCTTTTCCTTCATGGAGAATGTCTTTCACAAGGGGATTCTGATTCTGTCTTCTCGTAAGAAACAGCTGCAAAGTCAAAGCTGTCCTTTTGTACCTGCTGTGTTTCAATTGCCTTCACTTTAAGGTCTGTATCTCACTATTTAAACCCTTTGAGTGTTTTGATTTAACATAGAACTTTGGAGAAGACACAGGTGTTACAGCACTGCAACAGAATATAACTTTAAAAACCTGTAAAAGGTGTGCCCATAAAGGGAAGATGGGAGAAAAGGACACTAAGTCATCAGCAGTGTTTGTCAGTCTTTAAGTTCTGTTTTGGGCCAATCCACATGACAGGCATCTGGTGTGCACCTATAATCCAGTTGTTGGAAGGCTGAGAGTTCAAGGCCAGACTGGGCTACTCAGTGAGACCCAATCTGGGGGGAGGGGGGGAATGAGTACAGCAACCAAACAAACCAAGAGTGCTAGGGAAATAGAGCCAAAGCTGAGAGATAGCAGTGACATTGTGGTGTCCAGGATGCTATATAGGACCAACTGACTTGATTGATGGCCAGGTCTTTTATTTGTCTGTGCTGGAATATGCTCATTTATATCCATTTGTTAATGCTTAAAACCAAAACTTATTAAATATCCAGGTGTCTGTGTGTGGGCTCATGCAGCACTTGCAGCTCCTGACAGGATAACCCCCCTGGGGAACGTGGTGTGTGCAGAAACTTGCAGTCCCAGTTTTCCATGTATTGCTGCCTGGTTAGAACAACATTATGGTGTTCTCATTGCTTCTTATCATGCTGAATTTCTGGTTGTCTTTCTTTCAAGATGGAAGAAACATTTGGCCTTGATTCGCGGCAGTCCATGCCCTCCTCTGAAGGAAATGGTCAGTGCAGCAGATTTGATGACATGGAGCATCTTCATCTACTAACAAACAACAGCCTGGATTTAGGTTTGTGGGTTTGTTTCTTATACACAAGTTAGATTATTTGCAGTCCTTGTGCTTTATATGCAATGCATTGTACTGTCACATTTACATTCATCATGCTGTTTTTAATTTCTTGGAATTAAAACATAATTAAATTGTTTCCTCCTTCTCTCCCTCCAATCCCTTCCATGTCCTCATTATGATCTTTCAAATTTAAAACTGTTTATCACTTAGTCTGACTCAGAGCAACTTTGGCTGAGATTTCAACTGGATCTTTCAATTTCTGTGTACTGAGATGGCTGCTTATTCTATGCCCCATTCTGCTTTGTATCACAGCACAGATTGGAAGGGAGACTACTCCCTTACATGAACTATGTCTCTCCCAATATATGTTAAAGTCTCCAATGCCATTAAGTGGAATTGCTAGCTCATTGAATAGGGCTGTTAAATATTAATAAAGAGGTGAATATTTTAAATATTTATGAAGCATTTTCTTCATCATAAATTATAGTTGTTTCTAGTACATTAATAACTTAGGTTCCATTAAAGAGTTCTGAACATATTATACCTCTCTTTGCCACTCTAGAATAGCAATTTTTATATACTTTTAAAGCCTCAACTTTAAAAGATTTTTTTTTTTTATTCCTCCAACAGTTAAATGCTGGCTGTTGTCATGCTATTGAGATTATGGTAAGGTTCAGTCCCCACCTCAGGGACTCAGAGCAGTTCAGGATCTGTGCTGCTTTTCACTGTTAGATTTTGCTTTCGGAAAAGCTCTCTGTGTTAACACTGCACGTATCAGACATGTAAGGGAGACAGTTTGGTGTGAGGTCACAAGTGTGTTCAGTGGCATCTACAGAATGGAGCCCTGAAGGCAGTTAGAGAAAGCTGTGCTGTGATGATGCTGGTTTGCTCCTGTGAGTGCCCAGAGCAGGCACTATGGAACCCTATGATTAGATGAGTCTCTGCAGTTTTTCAGGCTCATAGCTGGGAGAAAATAAAGCTTTATTCTCCCCAACCTATAGGAAATCTACCTTTTAAAGTTCTTCCCGTTTCCTTGGTTCTTTGATCAATGATACTTACTTGTTCACAGTGTATGACAAGAGTATACAGACCACACTGGCCTCTTCACTGTTACTATTTTATAAGTGTCTCAGCACTGCTTGGAGCCATAGTGTCTTTCCTTCTTTCCTTCCTTCCTTCCTTCCTTCCTTATTTCCCTCCCTTCCTCCCTCCTTCCTTCTATCATTTATTACCATTAAATCAAATCTTCCAGCTATATGTCTGCGTGACTATGTATGAAAGCAAACTTTCTCCACAGGTTTTGGGTCTTCATTTCAAAGGATCTATACCATTTAATATTTTTGGTGTGTATTAGTTATACATATGGATTATATTATGATGTGTAATGGATTTTGGTCATATTTACCTCCATTAATCTCTTGTCCCCCTCTCCTGTTGATCCTCATCTTCTTTCCAACTTTTCCTTTCTACTTACATGACATTTTTCCCCCAGTGATTCATTAAAATTCATTAGGTTTTCTTACAGAAACATGGGTGGGCCATTATTTATAGGAGCATGGGAAACTCCTCAATGGCTACTAAATTACTGAAGAAAATGGCATTCCCTCTCCTGTAAACAGCTGTCTATAGATTCTCAGAGAGGCGTTGGGGGAACACCATCCAATTTTGCAAGGCCCTAGGTAGTTGTTCTTGAGAATATCATTTGGGACTGTTGTTAAAGTTATGTATCATGATGTGCCCTTGCTCAGAAACCATTCATAAGCACATACATCAGGGAGTGCTGTGACAGGCATGACTGGATTGATGCTCACCATGCTGGGCTAAAAAGATATTGATATGGGCTGACACAGCACCATGTGTACTAAGTTGATCCCATTCATTTTTGTATTTTTCTCTTGAGAACTTTACTCAGAAAATAAAAGGCCCTGTTTGAATACCAGGCTCCTTTGTACTAAACTGGTAATCTTCTGGTACCTTTTTTAAGCCCCTCTTTCTTCAGTTATAAAGTCAGATTAGATCTGAGAGGCTCTGAGCCCCATTCAGATTTGTATTCAATTGTGCACTCTATCTGCAACAAATTGATCTCAGATTTATAGGACAGTTAATTTTAAAATCATGTGTTGATAGCCTTGTGTAATGGGCTATTCATGATCCTGTGGTTAATCTAAAATAGTGACTTTAGGCTTTGGATGTGACTCAGTGGTAATAGAGCACATAATGGCCTCATCACCAACATAAAAGAAACAACAGCAAAAGCATACCAACAAAATGTTGTTCTTTAGCATACTCACATTCTCCAGGGAGTGTGAAAGCAAACTTGTAAACGAACATAATTCATAATGAAAGGCAGGAAGATGAATTGTAAATGAGGAATACAATCAGTGTATCAGTGTTCCAAGACTCCAGGGAGGAAACAGCTCCATCTCCATCATGCTGCCCACTCCAGAGGGGTTTCTGTCCTCTGTATCTATTTCCAGGCCAGTCTCTTGCTGTAAGCTGAGTTTCTGAGGGGTGAGGCTTGTCGCTGGCTCTGTTACCACAGTGTGCACAGAAATAGTATCTGTCAAGTGAGAAGGCAGCATGGTACTCATGTGTAATTGTTCAACACATCACCTTACGTGTTTCTCTTGCTGAATTATGCAACCACCTGTTTTCTTTGCTCAAGCTCTTCTTGCTTTTTCTTCATACCGTTCTGTTCTTGCAGTCACCAAGTATAAAGGTGTGGAAAAATTTCTCCATTCCTTTTCTATAAGCATTAACTTCTAGGGACCTTTTTTAACCTCCTTGATTTTATAACCTTTGTGCCCATTATAGCCATTGACTAACACTTGTACATGATCTGTTTTGTGGGTGGGTGGGTGCTCTGAGCACATGGTGAACAGCTCTGTAAAGAATGTGACAGGTACTGTACGAGGTGAGGAGTGGGCATTTGTGTGCCGGCGAAAGGCAAGAGAAGAACAGTGGGCAGATGGCCTGGGGCCAGGCTTGATAAGTTGTGACTGACCGACACTTACTTGCACAGCAGAGCAGCGATGGTGGGAAATTGCTTGGCAAGTGGAGCCTTTGCTATACTTACAGTCGCTGCCTGAGGTTCTGCTCCACCTCTGCTTTCCCACTCATTCAGTTGAGGTGTACAGGAGATTGGAGCTGTCGGGCATCGCTTTGACTACCACACAGAAATGAGGTCCCAGCAGTTGGCAGTGAAGGTGTCTGGGGATGGGAAAGGCAACTGAGCATGATTGAGTTCTAGTCACCCCCACTCTGCTGCATTGCCACTTGATTAGACCTGCTTTGTAGTCTCTGGACAAGATCAAAAGCAATAGGAGTGGTCATTTACTAAAGTTCAAGGTGAAGTGTGGCTGATGTTCGCAGGAAGAGATGATGCAGAGTCTGTGATTGACAGGTCAGTTCTGCTTTTCTGGTAAGTCAAGCATCTGAAACACGATAGGAACAGATTCAAGGAAGACAATTGGGGTAAAATTCCTCATGCTCTTACAAACACGAGGACAGCCTGGCTGAGAGTTTATATTGGGTCCCTAGATGTACTGAAGTGATGAATAAACCGATATTGATGTGGGTGCAGGCCTCTAAACAGACCACAGCTCCCCAGTCTGCCTTGTTATTCTTTTATTGAGCAAACAGGGGACACGGGTGCCGTTTTGGACTGTCTTACACATTTCAGGAAGGGGAGGGAGGTCCCTATGTTGGATTCTGGTACAGTAAAGCAATTTTGAGTTCAGAATAAAGGTATCCATTAAATAAAAGAAATTAGGAGGCTCAGGCACAGGCACAGTGGTAGATCACTTGCATAGCCTGCCTGAGGACTAGGGTGTGACAGGCAGAAACATGGAGAAGAGTTAGAAAGGAGACGGTTTGGACCCTAGCCCGACAGCCTAGTTCAGGATGGGAGAGAGGTTTCATATCTGTTCCCCGTTGTCTCTGTAAGAACTTTGCAGCATAATGAGGGTAGTGGGGCCCACAAGACAGACCTGGACATGCAGGGGCACAGTAGGCGGGCCAGGCAGGGCAGGCAGGGCAAGTGCATCTACTGGAGAAGCTTCAGTTGCAGGCTTCTTTCAGTTGTATTTTGTGTATGTGCACACTCATGCTTGTTCATGGGAGTCAGAGGTGGTATTCTCCTTCTGTCATGTCACACGGGTTCCAGGGATTGAACTCAGATTGCAAGGCTTGGTGGCAAGCAGCATTCCACTGACCATGGCCCCTAATAATAATCTTGATGAAAATATGTATCATATTTCATATCATTTGGATAAGTGCTGCATTATTTATTGTTATGCAACCCTATGAAGTAGCATTTTATCTCCTTACATATGTGTGAGCTTTCAACTAACACTTCATAATTTACAGCATTTTACATTTTCTTCAAGAATACAATTACAAAGAGTGTCATAGAGGGAGATTGCTTCAATCAATGGTTCATGGGTCCCATGGGGGCTGTCCCCACTGGCTTTAAGGAAAGCTCCTGGCACAGCAAAGTCAGGCTCCTCCCTGGGACAGCAAAATTCCCCACAGCTGAACCTTGCTAGGTTCCCATCACCTGCTTCACTCTGCACAGAACTGTTCATAGTCAGCTCTTCAACCATGCTGCTTTTCTGTCTGTAATTACTCTGCTCTCTGGAAAGTAGGCCAGGTGACCTCAAACTATGTAACTGAGAATTACTATGAACTTCTAATCTTCCTGCCTCTCCTTCATAAGTGCTAGATTACTGGGGTACACCCCACAGCTGGCTCATGTGGTGCTAGGGATCAAAGCCAGGGCTTCACACTTGCCAAGCAGCCATTCTACCAACTGAACCACATCCCAAGCCCCACACGGAATCTGCCTCCTGCTGGAGTCCAAATCTGTTACTCTCCCCTTACCAACATGCCTCAAGGTTGTGGGTCCTTCTAAATAGAAGTCAAAATTACAGAGAAGAGCCTGGAGCTGGGGAGATATGCGGAGGGTAAAGTGCTTGCTGCACAAGTGTGAGGATCAAGGTTCTGATCCTTGTGAAAGCCAGGTAGGTGACAGCCCCCTTTAATTCCAGTGCTTAGCAGTCAAAGACAGTGGGGTCCTTGGCTGTGTAGCCAGACTAACTGTAACAGTGAGCTCTAGATTCAGAAAGAGAATCAGACTCTGAAAGGTAAAGAGTGATCAAGAAAAACTCTGCATCAAACTCAGACCTCCATACATGAACACATAAGCACATTCGCATGTGTGAACATGCATACATGAATGCTCACTACACAAATTCACATGCAAAATAAACAATGTAAGTGATAGTAAAGGAAGGATACACGTGCACACACACACACACACACACACACACACACACACAGCAGCAGCAAGATGGTTAATTGTGAAAGCACTTGCTATTTCATCCTGAAAACTTGAGTTTAATTGCCAAAACTCAAGTGAAAAACCAGATGCATTGGCATGCCTTTGTAATCCCAGTGTTCCCGTGATGAGGTGGGAGGCGAGAGAGCAGAATTGCTTAGAAGCTTATGCAGCAGCAGGAACACAAGGCCTTCCACAAGATGGAGTAGAGAACCCACTCCTGAAAGTTGTCCTCTGACTGCCACATGTACACTGTCCCCCCAACACACAAAATACATTTTAAAAATTAAGAATAACTAAAGGTGGGTATATGGCTAAGTGGTTAAGAGTGCTTGCTACTCTTACAGAGGACCAGAGTTGTCTCTCAGCACTCACCACAAATGGGTCACTTATAACCACCTATAACTCTAGCTCCAGGGACTCAAATGGCATCTAGCCTCTGTGAGCACACATATTCTCCCTTATACACATAATGGAAAAAAAAACCAAAATCTTTTCAGGGCATGGTGGGGGCATGCCTTTAATCCCAAGATTTGGGAAGCAGAGATAGACAGGTCTTTGTGAGTCTGAGGTTACCCTGGGGTACATAGTGAGACACTATCTCAAAAAAAAAAAAAAAAAAAACACAGACAAAGGAATAACATAAGGGACTGGGGAGATGACTCGCTGGGAGAGAAAGCGTGCTTTGCAAGCATAAGAGCCTGAGTTAAAATCTCCAAAATCTTTGTAAAAAGCTGGGCATATGCGTTTGTAATCTCAGCATGGAGAGATGAGATGGGCTGATCTGAGCACTCTCTGACTGGCCTAACTGAAGCGGTGAGCTTCCAGTTCTGTGAGATCCCCTGTCACAAGACAGTAAGACCAAAAGTGGTAGAGGGAGATAGCCAGTGTCGTGTTCTGCCTTCCTAAGTGTGCACCTATGGACACATCGGTGCACACTTGTGCATACTCTCTCCCATACACTTAAGTGAACTAAAGTAAGAATAAGAGCTTGACCTAAAAGAGGGAAACATTTAAACAAATTATGGCAATGTGTGCTTTAGTGGACAGGTATATAGATTGGGCCAGCAAGATGGCTTGGCAGAGAAGGCACTTGCCCCAATGCCCAATGACCTAAGAAAATCAAGCCCTGAAGGTTGTCTTCTGACCTACACATGCACTGTGGCATGTGTACATCCCCCTTGTACATGCAAGACTACACATGCACAGACTAATCTTAACAAAATCCTTAACCTGAGTTTGCCCTTTCATAAAATATAGTTAATAATGCCTTTCTTAAAATTATCTGTAAAAATAGAATGAGTCAACAGATAGAAAAAATAAATTCTGAAGTTTCTAAACTAAGCCTTTCAAATTGTAATTCTTACTTAGTTGTTATTCCATGGGGTCATAATGAATGCCAGAGGACCCATGACCAGAATAGCCTAGGGTGAGAAAGGAAAGCGTTGCAGTAAGATTAGAAAACATAAGAGAGTTTTTTTGTGCTGTTTTGTTTTGTTTTTTTGTTTTATTAATAAAGTAATGCTATTGATGAAGTACCTAGTTTTGTTCATTTGTTTGTTTTCCCACGAGGCCCACTGGAAATGTAACCTTTCTTGGTTCAGCACCTTCCTTGCTTCATTTTTCAGTGGTGCTTTCTGCCCTGGGCATTAAGGCTTTCCCTTATGTACTTTAATGTCATCCGTCTCCTAGCTGGGAGGGTCATACCTACAGTGAGCATCCTTAAAAGTGCATTGAATGACTGACTGTGTGCTGATTTCCTATCATCTGTATTCTTCAGGCATGATGATTCCAAGCGATGCCCAAGGTCCTGACATGCTTGTCGATCTTCCAGCTGCTACCCAAAGAAGGGAGCAAGAAGATTTGCCTTTGTACCGACTCCCCAGTGCCCGGGTTGTCTCCAGGCCTTCGTCGTACATGGGAACGGTGTCTTCAAGATATGCGACTGCTACATGGTATATCATTTTTCTTCTTCTTTAAAAAGCTGGTATTAAGTAATGCAGAGTAGTGTATTTACTATTAACTACCATTAAGTTGTCATGTGAGGTAATATGTTTCATCTTGTCATTTTCTTACATATGTGACTTTGCCCTTTATTCTCATTTCCCACCCTGCAGACCCTCCCCTGCCTTCCCTCCCCCCTATGGCTAGTTCCTGGTTTGGCTTTTGTTTACAAAAATGTGCACGATTAATGTAACATGTAGAAAATACAAAGGGATCTTATGACTAAATTTGCATTAGAAAATTACTATTAAAAGTTTCTATAGTTCTTGAAATTAGGTCACAAATAGAATTTTATACTTTAATTCACAAAATGGATTCTATACAGGCCAGCAAGTGGTCGTGAGGACAGAAGGATGTGCAGACTCTCAGGCATCAGAGAATCTGCAGGGAGTAGTGTCTAATGACAATTTATAAGACTCATGGTTCTGGAGCAGAAAGCTAGATAGCAGGATGTAATTCCTTGACAAGATAAAGCCCTATAAACAGGTTGGCAGGAAAGTTATTGGATTAGTTGGGGACATGTTGGGATTAAAATATCCCTAAATCCACAAAGTGGATTGGATCTATCAATCTGGGATTAATGTGTGTTCTGTCATGTCATTGAGAACATGGTCAAGTATAGATGAACCTCTGCATGTGGGTGACAGTTTGTGTTTGGTCTGTTTGTTGGGGAGGCGCGGGGCTTGACAGGGGGACCAGGATTTATCCCTGGTGTATGAACTAGCTTTATGGAGCCCATTCCCTGTGGTGGGCTTGTTCCTGTCTCAACTTGATGTGCCAGTCTTCATTGACTCCCCATGGGAGGCCTTATGCTTTCTGGGAAGTGGATAGGGGGTAGGGTGATGGATGGAGGGAGGGAGAGGGAACTGTAGTAGGTGTGTAAAATGAAAAGGAAAGTAGAAGTCTGATTGTGTAGAGAAACAAATGGAATTAACTGGAGTAGGTAAGAAAGGGTAGAGTAGGGAATCTTAAAGGGAATATGCCCAACTTATAATATACACTTTTATGAAGATATCAGCCGATAGCACAGTACCTTACATATCAAATATATGTAATGAAAATTTTTTAAATGGGAAATACATTGACAAGTTGACCCAGCAGGTAAAAGGCACTTGCCAAACTAAAGACTTGAATCCAATACTAGGATCCACTTGGCGGAAGGAGAGACTCAAGTCCCACAACTTGCCCCCTGACCCCCATACATGCCTTGTGGGACACACCCATTCATCTAGACAGCCTCTTTAACAAAGGTACTAGGGAACTGAGTGAAACTCAATCCCTATTTCACCTTGCACCAAAATCTATTACTGTATCAAAAGCCATGATGTAAAAGTAGAAAGTCTAAAACTACTCATTGAAAACATTGACAGGACATTCCAGGTGTGTGTAGGTAAGGACTTTCTGAAAAGGGCCCCAGTGGCATAGGTGAAACCTTAAGAACTCACAAATGATACTACATGAAATTAAAAATCTGCACAGACGAGGAAGCGTTCAGCAGAGAGAAAAGGCCGGTCCAGGATGGCAGGATAGCTTTCCCAGCTATTTGTCATACAGGAATCTCTAGTCTATAAAGAACTCCAAAAATTATATTCCTCCAAAAGCATTTGATTATTAAATGGGCTAATAGATTGAATATGTATTTCTCAATGGAAGAGATAAGGTTGTTCAATAAGCACTTGAAAATATATTCTTCAATATTCTTTACCATGATGAAATTTCAAAGTAAAATTACATTGAGTGTCTATCTCATTCAGTGTATCTGTCATGAAAAAAACCACAATACTGGTGAGGATGTGGGAAAGGAGCAACCTTGTGCTCCGTGGTGGGGCTTTAATCTGGTCCAGCAACTGTGGAAATCAGTATGTTGCAGCTAGTGTATATGTTGTATGTTCTGAGTCAGCATGCCACAGAGACTCTTCCACATCCATGTTCATTGCTGCACTATTCATGGCTGCTAATTTATAGAGCTAGCCTAAATGTGCAATAAGAGTGGAACTGGTAAGGGAAATGTGATACCAACACACAAGGGATTTTGTTCAGCTGTAAAGAATGAAATAATGACATTTGCAGGAAAATAGATGCACTAGAGATTGCTGTGCAATGTGAAATAAGCTAGACTCAAAGATGAGTATGGCATGTTTTCCCTCTCACACGGAGCTTAGGTTTAGATTAATACATTTGTCTACACTTAATGTGTGCATGTGACACACAGAGATCAAACTAGGAGGGTTACTGCGAAGGGAGGTAGAGATCCACAGGGAGGGAAGGGGATACAGAACAGAGTGCACATGAGATGAAAGCAGCTGGGGGAGCGGTGTGCGTGTAGGACCACTAGGAAGGTACTAGGGAGCATGACAGGGAGGTAAATAAGAGCAGAGTGTGTGGCGTGTGTGACACATGTCTGACATGTGCGCAGTGTTACTGTGAAATCCATTACTATGTATGGTAACTAGGGAGGTTGAGGCAAGATCAATGCATCTTCACTGCCAGCCTGGGTTACAAAGTGAGACTCTTTATAGAAGGACAGAAGGCTGTTATATATTGATGACATTGCAAATGTGAAATTGTACAAATTAAAGGCAATCGTTTTTTAAAAGAGCTTCATGTTTCACAAGGTTTTAATCATTGTATGATGTCCTGGAGCTATACGGGGGTTGCTATGTTTACTATTAAAGCAATGAATGTTTGCTTTGTCAGTTTATTGATGTGAATACGTTAAAAAGGTTAAAAATTAATTAATTACCTATAGAACATGGAATTTTGGAACTTCCAAGAACTTTTAAGAATAAGAATGTGTCTTATAAGTGCTGTGTTTCCCCTTACAGTGAGTTACCCGAGAGAGAGGAAGGTGAAGGGGAGGAAACGCCAAACTTCAGCCACTGGGGTCCACCAAGAATGTGAGTGTATGCCATTACTGTCCTCAGTGCAAGCACACCCTTGTTCTATTTTCCAGTTTTTTGGTTTTTTTTTTTTTTATTCTGCTACCTTGTCTTATGTCAACTTGATACAAGCTAGCTTCATCGGAAAGGAGGGAACCTCAGTTAGGAAATTGCCTCCATAAGATGCAGCTGGAGGGCATTTTCTTAATTAGTGGTTGATGGGAAGGGCTCAGCCTATTGTGGGCGGGGCCGTTCCTGGGCTGGTGGTTCTGAATTCTTTAACAAAGCAGGTTGAGCAAGCCTTGGGGAGCAAGCCAGTAAGCAGCTCCCCTCCATGGCCATTGCATCAGTTCCTGCCTCCATGATCCTGCCCTGTTAGGGTTCTTTTTTTGACTTCCTTCAGTGATGAACAGCAATGTGGAAGTTTAAGCCAAATAAACTCTTTCCTCCCCAACTTGCTTTTTGGTCCTGATGTATTATCACAGCAAAAGAAACCATGACTAAGACACTTAGTCACACTGTAATTGAGACTTAAAATAAGTAATATCCTTTATGCTAAATTTTAATCCCTTCTTTTGGCTAAAGACTGTTAGCCAGTAATAACTCTTTGATGCTCTCTCAGAGAAATCACCTTCCAAATGTCCCTCTGAGAGTAGCCACTGATGGATGTCATGCTTTATCATGTGTCAGTTATAAGTGAGGTTGTGCTGCCTTGGGTGCCCTGATGCTACAGGGCTATAAACAGTAGTTGAGGCTTTTCTCACCTACCAGCTTCTCTCTCTCCTCCCTCCTCGTGGAGAATATGCATTTGTGTCTGGTTTGGGCTCACAGAATGAACTCATCTTCTCTTGCATTTGATTGCACATATTGTACTTGTCAGGCTGCCAGAGTTTTATGGTTATTAAAGTCCTTCAGTAGCCTCTTTCTGTTTTTATGCTGTGTTAAGTCCACAGCCCTCAACCTATCATCTTACAATTCCCAAATTTGTCTTAATGACTCTGAAGACATATTTTCTGAGTAATATTTTAAATTGAGTTAACTTCTAGTCATACTTCTGTAGTTAAAGCAAAATTTATATAGGAACTAATTTCATATTCCTTTTTATAGTTTCTTTGGATAAAAGTAAATATTTGTTTGGGTATTTGTATGGCTGTTTAAGTGATATGATGCACTTTCCTGTAGTCCTAGCACTTGGGATCCCAAAACATAAAGAATGCCAGTTGAAGGTCAGCCTAGCTAAATGGCAAGACCTTATCTCAAATACAGAAGCCAACAAACAGAAACGATGCAGAAGTCAAATGCAAAGAAACTTCTTTTAGCGTTAAAAGCAGATACCATTTGCCTTCTACAGAGGTCCTCACCCTCAAACCTCTCTGGGAAAAGCAGTGGATTGTGAGCCACTCTAGCATGTTTATTTTACTCTGAAAAGCTGAGGCCTTATTAAAATGAATATGTGCCTTCTTCAGTCTCCACCTCTGTTATTTGCTCAGAGTCTCCCTGCTAAGGTTGTGCATAGGGGTGAAGTGACTGGTGGTGCAGTGAGAGGAGAGAGGCGCGCTGAGTCTTAGCTAGCCCATCCCTGAGTCTCATCTTTTCAAAATTTAAACTTTTACATGTCATAAATTTTGAGTGTCTTATAATTTTTGAGCTAGCATCATTTATATAAAATCTTTAAAGTACCTTAGGAAATTTTAATAAAACATGAGCCACAGGCTGTGCAATAGATGGAGCACTTAAAGTGACAACATAGCAAGTTAAATTACCTTATTCATGAGTGTGCTTCTTTGTCCCTTTTACAGTGTTGAGATTTTTAGAGAACCTAACGTATCTCTTGGTATCAGCATTGTTGGTGGACAAACAGTTATAAAACGCTTAAAGAATGGAGAGGAGCTCAAGGGTATATTCATCAAACAAGTGTTAGAAGATAGTCCTGCAGGAAAAACCCATGCACTTAAAACTGGAGATAAAATACTTGAGGTAAGTGAAGTTGAAGCAATGTTTAACTTGAAACGTTTAAATCAGAAGAAGAATCACTTTGGCAAACCTCATGTATAATTGGATCCAGTTGGTAATATCCTTTTGTGGTGTCTTAGTTTGTATACCGTATGCACACTATCTGAATTCCTCTAGCTTGTGAGGGGAGAGCAAGTAAAATGTTAAGGCCAGAACCCCAGCTGACTGAAGCATTTAGCATTGCACTGCATGTAGAACAGGTGGACACTTGCTTCCCAGAACCCTTAGCAAGTTCTGGCGTTTGTTTTTGTATCTTGTCTACAGAAAGAAGTTGACCTTTGAAGGGGATAGATCACATGGTCCATGGGTCACAGGTGTTCAGTTTTATAGGAGACAAATCTTATTTAGCTTAAAGATTTACTGATTGTTTATTATTTGTATGTGTATGTGTGAGTGCTGCATGAATTTATGTGTATCTTGTAAGTACAGGAGACTGCAGAGGCCAGAAAAAGACTTTAGATACTCTGGAAACTGGTTGTTAGCTGCCATATAGGTGATTGGAACTGAGCCCAGGTCCTCTGTAGAAGCAGCAAATGCTCTTAACTGCTAAGAGAGCTCTCTAGTCCTGGGAAATAAATTTTAAATGGACATGAAAACACTAAAAGTGCGTTGGGCTTGTTGAATGATACCAGAGTAGATATCTCTAGTTCCATATAGCCAGCCCATCTTGGCCTTGAGCCTGTTTACAACTGAGGCTGGCCTTAAACTCCTATTCTTCCCACTTTTACCTCCTGCCAAGATTATAGGTGTGTGTCACCAAACAGAGTGTGTAATTACCAAATGCAAACAAGTCTTCATTTCTCTGGAAAATGTACAAATGTTGCTTGCTAGGCTTCATGTTAAGTTCATTTATAAATTTAAATAGAACTATCAAACTATCTTCAGGAGTGACTGAGCCACTTTATATCCCTATAAGCCATGAGTAAATGATCCAGTTTGTTCACATTTGTCATCTGGTGGTGGTGTTATCAGTTTGGCCATTCTAATAGGAATACAGTGGTACACCATTGTGGTTCTGGTTTGCAGTTCTGTCCTGGCTCCGTGGTGTCTGCTTCCATGAACTTATCCTCTCCAGCAAAGCCCTCAAGCATGCCTTCCACCTGCTTTCTGGTGGCCTTTTGCTTTGTCTTCTACAAATTAGGAATCTGAGAGGTGTCTCAACAGTTAAGAGCCCTTACTTCTGTTCCATATGACCTCGTATGTTCTCAGTACCTTCGTCATGTTGCCCACACTAGAGCTTATGACAGTAGCTTCAGGGAATCTGAAACCTTCTTCTGGTATCTTCAAGTACCCGCACATATGTGACATATGTACACATATCAAATAAATCACATCTTTAAATAAATAAAATTATTTTTCCGCCTTATCTGCTAGTTTTTTTCAAGCTGACACTGGCATTCAGAGTTACATTTTACCATACATTGTATCAAATGTAATGAATCATTTGTTCTTTTACTGTGATTCCTATTATAAAGTTTTTATTTTGTTTGATTTTACTTAAGCCCATGATGAGTTCTGTCTGTCTGCTGTAAACAGTTGTTTTTAAGCAATTACATGATAGACTTAGGTACATAATAAGAACTTCTTTAAGAAGCCGGGGTTTATTTCTGAGGAGTAGGTCTTCACTCATGTGATCAGTTGAATTCCTGCTTTCTAATTCTAAAGCTGAGAAGAACCAGGATTTGGTGTTGCAGTGTGTCCCTAGCTTCTTCCCACCATCAACCATTTCCATCTGTCACTCAAGGGTCCACTAGGGGAACTCCTGCCTTCATCCTTCCATCCTTCTCTTCATGCCTTTGAAACAAAGCACTCACCACCCCGCTGACTAAACCCACCTCACAATTAAGTTGTTGCTCTGTATTTGATTTGAAACCCTGGTTCTGTGCTCTTAGAGAACTGTGGAGATGCTAGCAAATTAGGCTCTCTGAGTTTCTATAATAAGCAAAACAGCCTGTGCATGCTTGTACACTTATTTTGTTAACACAAATTAGGAAATACTCAGTTTCTGCACTGTAATAATAGTTTAACCCTCAGTTTAACGGAGATACAGTAAAAGTTCAGAAGGTTCCTCACTCCGTTCTGAATAAAGCTTCTGTTACATACAGCCCTGTGCTATTGCAGAGACCTCCTGGGAGTGGAACCTGACTAGCTTCCAGTTCAGGGTCATTATATGAAAGTGGAAATATTGTTATAATGGAACTGTCCGCTTTGCCCTGCCCCAGGTGAAAGCATGGTTTTCCTGAATCACACTGTGAAAAAGTAGAGCATTTCCTTTGTAGTTGTTTCCAGTTCCTGAATGTGGTCTAGCTCATTAGTTTCTGGCTTTTCTCACACACAGGATGATTGATACATGAACTTGAGCTAACCCTTGCATAATCTGGTGCCTTTCTAATCAGAGTGTCGTCTTGTGAGTTTTAGGTGTCTGGCATAGACCTGCAGAATGCCTCGCATGCCGAAGCCGTGGAGGCCATCAAGAACGCAGGCAACCCTGTGGTGTTCGTGGTACAGAGCCTGTCATCCACCCCCAGGGTCAGTACAATCCTGTTCTGTTCTCCTCTGTGCTAACCTTTGTCCCCCAGTATTCCCACATGTTCATTGTTGCTTGGCTTTACTAGTAGAAAAAACAGTAACTCAGTACAGATTTAACTTTTCCCTTCAATTTCTGTTTTTAGACCCAATTTTGATCTGCTGGCCAAAGTTGAATCATGACACCATACATTATTAGTTTCAACAAGCCTGTGAACCACACATCTTCTTCCTAGTCCCGTCCTGCCTGCTTGTTGGTTCTGCTAACACAGCGACGCACTATATCAATTTTCTAAGTTATTTTGAAGTTGGAAAGGGTCAGGTATAAAAACCTTGTAGAGGAGCCGTCATGTGCTTATATGTTTGGATCCTATAAAGAGAGATATGTTGTCTGTTCTTGTGATAACCACTCAGTTAGTAGAATCAGACCTCTGACACAAAGGTATCAGTGGCAGCTGTCTATTTCTCAGTAGCTTGAATCCTAGAATTGGAAGAACGTGTACTTCTGAACAGGAGAAAAACTACACAGTTTTAGTGTTTCTTGTGTCTCAATCCTTCAGGGACTACAGATGCTAATACTTGTGTGGAGAACAGGGCAAGTGGATCACCAGCTGTCTTAGCACCCCAGCTTTAATGGGGTACTTTGCATGCAGTTTCTGAATAGTGGTCTGCAGCCGTGGTCACAGTGGGCGGCTCTGCTGTGTTTCTGTGTACCACCGCTGTGCCTTCCATCCTTATAGTGTGTTGCTCCCCACCAAGACCAACTGAGACCTCTCATTTTTATATGATTTGAGATTCAATTAGGCTTTTTTGGAGTTGTTTTTAAACTGTATTTTATAATATTGAGAATGGTACTGTGACTTTGCTTTTATTTCTAGAACTGCATTCAACAGGAAATTTAGCCATACTGTTCTTGCCAAATGGTACTTCCCAATAAACAGTTGTGAGTGAAAATGGTTCATCCTGGATATACATTATGTGGCCACCATAAATGCCCAGTTGAAAAATGTTTAGAACATTTGAATATGTTACAGATTCAACTAAAAATGTCGAGTCTCCAGTAGCTTTCACTAGTGAGTTGAGATATGAGGTTTTCAGTGGGTGACATAAACTCACCACTAAAAACAGGAGCATCTCCTGAACATCCTTCCATACCCATGTCATCTGGTCCAGGAAGCAGAGCAGGGTGCCACACTGTAGCCTCTGGCCTCCAGCTGTGAGTGTATGGTAACTGATGGTGTTAGTCACTAGTTTGGCTTGCTCTGCTTTTAACCTGCTTCAGCACAATGACACAATCAAATTTCAAGACTTTGCTAAAGGGGTTTGGCTTGATTGTTGCCACAAGTCTTGGGGTGGAGGTTGGCAGGTGCAGAGAATATTTTCACAGTTTCATTGCTTTCTCTAGTTTGCTGTGCTAACCATGGAACTCTGGGCTTCACCCATGGCAGCATTGTACTCCTGAGCTACTTTGTACTCATCCTCACCCTTCCAAATTTAATTTTATTAAATGAATCTCCAGTGCTAGGGATCAAACCCAGAGTCTCTCACATGTTAATTAGCACCCTTCCCCGGACTTTCTACTTTCAGCCCCTAGTTTTTATTTGAGACAAAGTCTTTCTGAGTTGTCCAAGATGACCTCAAACTCCTGACCTCTTGCCTTCCATGTCGGTAGCTAGGGCTACAAGTGTAGGCCACCTTGCCCAGATATCGTAAACATTTTGACCTATTCACACTAAATTTTGAACTTTCTTCAGAACTCTAAAAGATTTCCTAATACTATAACGTAAAAGTGTTTTTGTGCTGAAAAACTCGGCACCATCAACCATACAGCAGTTCATGTGCCACATCAGAACTAGCACAGACACATCCCTTTCTGAACTTCTGAATCCCAGCCCTTCCTCACCTAGCAATTGTTCATTTGTGATCAGAGCCTATGGTTCATTCCTACTGCATTTCTCTTTGGGAAGTTTCTATGCCAAGGTAATCTTTTTCTCATGAAATAACATAAGTACCTTTGATAGTAGCATTGTGTATATTTTTCCTATCCTTGCCCCTCCCACTTCCATCAACAAAAAACCCTTTTGAAATTGTTACCATCTCCTCAGCCATCCCTTAAGCATTGTTAACTTCATTCATCTCTAAGCACTTACCGAATACAGCTATGTGCTAGACCTCAATTTCCCCAGAGTCAGTATGATGTGTCTTTCTTCCAGCACCCTGGCTGTACTTCCTTATCACATGACTTTAGCACGGTGCCCTTCTTTTGGTATATGCACCATAAAAATTCATCTTTCACTGCACTGTTACATGAAATAGATGGCGTTCTATTTTCCTGTAGGAGATATTGCTTTGGGTGAGCATTTTATCTTCTGAGCTTTGCCGGTGATTAGCATATGCAATAGTATGTTCTCTATTCAGAATATAGACATCATGAGAGGCAACTGAATGTTCATATCACAGCTTTCGCATGCCTTCTATCTCGGCCTGCTTTTGACATGTGCGGAAGTAGTCCCAGATTGTGCTGTTTCTGGCATCTGTCAAGAACCGCCTGCCCATAGGCTGTGACCTTGTACTCCTGCAGGTTGTTAGTGTCTATGAGTGAGACAAAGTGCGGAGCACTATGCTGATTAGGAAGCTCTGACTGTACGTTAAGAAGGTATTGCTGGAGCTGGAGCAGCTGAGAGCATTTGCTATTCTTGCAGAGGACTCAGGTTTGGTTCCTAGTACCCATGTTGGGCCGCTCACAACTGCCTGTGACACCAGCTCCAGGGAATCTGACACCCTCTCTAGCCTTTGAGGGCACGGACATGCACACACATGCACAGTTACACAGACACGTGGACACGAATGTACACATACACACAGACACATACATATGAATAAAAACAAGTCTTTTGAAGAACTTATTACAGGTTTTTTTATTGAAGTGAAATATTTCTGAGACCTTACTAATTCTGAATTTGCTTATTTAGTAGAGTAAAATTGAATAAAATGTCATTTGCGTTTAGCTCAAAGTAGGTAATTTTTTTGTTTTGTTTTTAATGCTCTCTAGACAGACAGTTCCTTTAATTTTCTGAAAAGGTTTTTTTTTTCCTACCTTCATGTCAGCCATCAGGTTTTATGCCATAATTATTTCTGTTGGCCATATGAACCACCATTACTAGTGGTTAGGAGTAGAGTACCTATCATGGGTGAGGCCCTGGATTCAATCTCTAGGACTAGAAAAGAAAACAAACATGAAAAATGCTATTATTTTCCTATGGTGTCTCATAGATAACATTACAAAGAGACATTATTTGGGAATTAGCAGCCAGATGCCAGAGGCAGCTGCTGCAGAGGAAGAACCAGGAGGACAAGCCATCTGTACCTTTAACTAAGCATGGTAGCTCACCAACACACTGGAGGCCAGCCTGGGCTATACAGAGTTCTAAGTAGCCCTGGAATAATGAGTGAGGTTCTGTGCAAAAATAAATAAATAAATAAATAAATAAATAAATAAATAAATAAATAAGAAAGCTATGCTATTAGCATTTCTAAGAATATATATATATATATATTTGAACTTCAGGGGACTAGAGAGATGGTTCAGTGGTTAAGAGAACTGCATTTTCTTGCATACTACCTGGATACAATTCCCAGCGCCTGTACAATGGCTTGCAGCTGCCTATAACTCCTCTTCCAAGGGATCTGATGCCCTCTTCTGACCTCTATGGGACCAGGCACACTTGCAGCAAACACATGCTTACATGCAGGCAAAACATTCATGCAATAAAAAATAAATATATAAAATTTAAAAAATAAGTTTGAATTTTATTCTTTTATAAATAAATACTTAGTGAATGCAATTATGTATCAGACCTTGTCTGCACACCACAGAGATCACAAAAAAAATCATCCAATTTCTTCTCTCATTGGATAGTAGAAATGTTTGTAATTTGTCCTTCTGCTACCAGTGATAGAAATTATCAAGTCCATGAAGTCTGCTAAATAACATATTTCTGCTGAGAGTTCAGAAGTCAAATAAATGAGGGATCCTATAATCTAACATGTCACTTTAGTCACCACTGAAACTTCCTTTGCAGAATTAGATATTTAAATAACAGTAGTCTAGCTTTGTAGTTTTCTGTCTTCACCTTACACACAAATCTTTATTTGTTCTGGTGACATGATTTTATAATGCAGATTTTCTCCACTTTACCTACTTTTGCTGATTGCCTTGAATTGAACTTCTCATCTATTTACTTTGAGATGAAGTCACCAGATTCATTAAGTCTTTACTGTCTAAAAACACAGAAACAAAGACTGGAGCTTGCTTAGTGCCAAGCCTGGCCTGAACTAATAGACAAATAGATGAAAAGGAATGTATCGAAGCCCAATACATGGCCCCCATCTCCATAGCACTTACCTCTTATCCCGAACTGGGAAGATGATGAGTTTGAGGATAGCCTAGACTACATAGCAAGTTCTAGAACACCCTGAGCTACACAGTGAGAAAAGTCACCCATACCACACTAACCAGAAAGAGAGGGGGATATTCCCCCCACCCCCAGACATGGTCTCAGTATGTACCCCTGGAACTTGCTGTGTATGCCAGACTGGCCTCATACTCAAATAGATCCTCAGGTTTCCGCCTTTGGAGTGCTGGATTAAAGGTATGCACCACCTTTTGTTTTCTTTTGAAACTGTGTCCCCCAGAGTGGCCTTGAGCTCACTGTGTAGTTCATTCAGACTTGGGATCCTCCTGCTAGGATTATGGGTGTGCACCATGGTACCAAGTTTAGAAGAAGACATTTGAGCTAGCTCATCTCTCCTTCTCTCCCCTCCCTTCTCCCTTTCTTTGGCGTTGGCAGATAATCCCAAGTGTGCATAACAAAGGCAAACCACCTGCCAGGACCCAGGATCAAGACACTCAGGGACCAAGAGCAAAGGTAAGCAAGCCTTTGAGGACTTTTGAGGACTGCTTTGGTTTCTTTTCACAGCTGAACAGTGGTGGGTGAGAGCAGTGAGGTGTCCTGTGGATTTCTGCTGGGTGTGAACCTTGGTCTTGGGATGAAGCAGGGACCTGGTGAAGCACAGCCAAGGACATCTGTAGCTCACTTTACTGTTTGTTTCTGCAGGCTGGCTGGCCTTTCTCAGAGTATGCTGCTCACAGTTGGAAGTTTTCATTTACATATTTCTTTTCCTTAAGAAGATTCTTATCAAAATTTACCTCTACTGGGAAAAAATATTTTCATAATCAGTCTGAATTAGTCACCCATTTTATTTTCCTGCTTCTATTCTGATAGAATTTACTGAACTAAAAATTATCTTTGAGTATGGTATCAATTACCCCATTAAGGGAAATTGGCTCACTATTTTAAAATAGTATTTGGTGGGCAAAATAGGATTTATAGTCCAAGCCTGTCCTGGCTGGAATTGTGAGAGGGAGGCCATGCTTCTGAGCCTGTCTATCCCTGCATGCTCTGTTCCTCATTTATTGGTACCTGGCTATCAATCTTGTGTTCTAGTTGAGTGGGTTTATTTTTATTTTTTTATATCTCTCTTTCTAAAGTCTTGCACAGTTACGTTCATTTATTTCTATGTAAATTTAAAGTCAGCTTGTCCATTTCCACAAATTAGTTTGATTATGTTTTGGGATAGATTTGAGACAACAACACATTGCTCTGATGTTGCAAACTTAGTTGCCTAGCATATTTTTATTTCTGTGAAATTATTTCTCTTCATTGATGTTCATAATCCAGAAAAGTATAGACCCTTTATTTATTCCTAGAAATGTTGTATTTTGCCAGTGAGACTGATTGTTTTCTAAGTTATTTCAGTTGTAATCAGACTGCCGTTTGTATAATATTACTGTTTTGGTTTTGTTGAGAAAATTCTCATCACTTTGATCATGTGAATCTTGATTTGTATTTTGTTTTTTGTTTTTTTTTTTGTTTGTTTGTTTGCTTTCTCTTTTTTTCTGAAAGGGTCTTGTGTAGTCTAGGCTGTCTTGGAACTCGCTCTCTAGCTCAGAGAGATCTTGATCCTCCTGCCTCCATCTCCCAATGCTGAGATCACAGGTGTGTCTAGCACATATTTCTTTGAATCTGGATTCTCACATAAAAAACGTTTCTCTGGGTTAAGAAGATGTGGAGCTACTGCAGATCTGAATTCAGTTCCCAGCACCCATGTTTGACTGCTCAGAGCTGAGTATAATTCTAGTTCCTGGAGGGTCCCAGGCTTCTGGCTTCCGAGGCTCCTGAATTCAAATTCATGGGCCTGTACCCCTCCACATACACACTTAGGTGCTTAGATTCTTTTAAAGGTTCTCAGATTGTGGTTTAAATAACACTAGTTTCTAAACTAAAGAGAAAAAGGTGTTTTTGGTTTTTGCTTTCAGGACTGTTATACATTATTAAAATACATTCAAAATGAGCAGTAAAAGTTTTCCTCAAATGCAGAGAGTCAGCGTCTAGATGCTATCCTAGCCATGCAGCCTTATGTTCTGTGCAGACACAGAAATGCAAACCGCCTGTTTCTTTAGCATGAAATCAAACAGGAAACTAATAAGCATGTTGTCTATTACTTCTCAACCAGTGGACATTAGATCCATGAGCCAGCTTTGGGGGGTTTGTCATTCCCAATAAATGCCACCCAATGTCGAGAGCAAAACCCAAACTCCATTCATTACTGCCGTTGCTAAGTTACAGTCCAAGTGAATAACAGATCAGACTTAATCTAGTATCTAAAGCACACACAGAGAATTGGAAATAAACCACAGAGAAATTGGAAAAAGTAATGGAGTTCTCTTTCTCAGAATATATACTATGTGAGTCAAAAAAGTTATGTAAATGGGTTTAAACAGCTCACAAATTGCATATGAGTCATCTCTGTTTAATTAGTTCTGGAAGGTGAGTCTCCTTGATCGTCACAGTGGGAATTCCAAAACTGTCAGTGTATAGTGTAAAAAATTACAACAGTTTTCATAAAACTATGAAAAAGTGCATTGCCAACTATTTATTTAACTCACTAGTGAGGGCAAAAAGAGATGGTAAGCCTGGTGCAGGGAATAGAAGAGAATTAAGTAAAGTTCAAATTTAGATATAAAATTAGCTCATGCCTTATGGGACAAGAAGGTGTAACTTTGGTGCTATCTTTTATAAGACAAACCATTTGCTTCTCTGCCATTCAAAATCAATATGCTCTACTGTCAAGTGAGAATCATATGCAATAGTTACAGTGGCACATGCTTGAAATCCTAGAACTTGGGAGATGGAGTTAGGGCCATCCTTAGCAATGTATAGAATTAGAAGCCAGCTTGGGCTATATCACATTGGACTGTATCTCAAAGAAACAAACAAAAAGAATTGCCTGCATCACTGTTATTTTCTGAAAGTTTATCTTTCAGGCAACAGCATGAATCAGGGCAGTTATTTAGATACCCAGTAAATACTTAGGGAGGTCACCATGTGCCTGGGACTAAAAGAAGAAGTGTGCCATTCAGTGTGTCTTGTTCTCTTTGTTGATGGTGTTGTCATCTCCTGGTCTACTTCAGCATAGGGAGCTCCAACCTTCTCCATCACTGGAGGGTTTGCCTGTGTGCACATCCTTCTTTAATGTGCAGCAGGAGGGTGCCCTGGGGGACTGGGCATGGTGTACACTTTAGTCTCTGCACTGGGAAGTTAAGCAGAGAGATGATGGGTTCCACTCCACCCTGAGTTAGGATGTACTTACCTGTGATCTTCTCTCAAGAGTGTTGGATGTAATCAAATAAGCTGGCATTCTTAGCTCTCAGTAGTACTTTCAGCCCCTGCTCTTGTTTGAAGGATCATCTCTGACATTGAATAAGCTGATTCTGAGAAAAGAAGGGGTAGTTTTGGCAGTGGGACCACCACTTTATTTTTCTTTTCATTTCACTCACTTTTTTCAACTTGAAGACTATAGCTGTCACATTCTGATTTGTTTCTTAGTAAAATGTTTCACATTTGACTTCTCTTTATCACTCTTACAGTTTAATATTTTGTATTTTCCACATATATAATCACTGATTTCATTAGACATTGTACTCAAGAAATATGAGTGTTTTCTTCCTTGAGTCCCACATAGTTCCTTCTCTTCTGGAGGAATTCACTGCTGTGTTATAATGGGCAGTGTCCACTCAGCAGAGGTATACCTTGTTATAATGGGCAGTGTCCACTCAGCAGAGGTGTACCATGTTATAATGGGCAGTGTCCACTCAGCAGAGGTGTACCTTGTTATAATGTTCAGTGTCCACTCAGCAGAGGTGTGCCGTGTTATAATGGGCAGTGTCCACTCAGCAGAGGTGTACCTTGCATTAGTGGTTTTGTCAGATAAAGCATAATTGAATGCACTTTATTGCAGTCATGTAGGAAGGCAAATCGTAATCTAGTCATTGGGTGTTGTAAAGGGCTTGGGCATCTCAGCTCCTGTTCTGCAGCACCTGGCATTTCTGGAAGGTTTGGCATGATTAATTTTTTCTCACGTTCAAGAACATGTCTTCATTCTGTGAAGGTAATTTAATAATAGAATTTTGTTTCACTTTAATTATCTATATGAGTCACATTGTTGTATGTTATGTTATTTGCTGTATAAATTTAGAGCATCCTTATTCAGAAATAATCAATTACACCCACTGCCCTTTTAGCATTAAATGTGTATGACCATCTACAAACTAATAAAATCTGATATTTTAGTTACTTTTAAAATAATCTGTAATTCTTATAATAAAAAACCTGAATAATTTTAAAGTTGATATTTTTAAAGCATTTGTTTTGAAAATCTGTGAGTTATTTAATTGGTAACACAGAGGATTGAGTCTGATGGCATAAAGAGAATGTACATGTTTTGCTTTCTCACGGGCAAAGGGGTGTGTTCTAGACAGGGCAGTGTTCTTCAAAGCTGTGCTCTTGAATTTCTATTGTTGCATTGCTGCATTTATATAAAATTACTTTTATAAAATAATAGGAACTGGAAGAAATAAATTGTATTTATTTTACAGTCCTTGTGTTGTGACTGAGGCAGCTACAGCCAGACTGTTTTCAGATTATCTTTATGTGTGTGTTTTCTTTTGTCGCTGGAGAAAAGGATCATATGAAAGCTGTTAACCCTTTTCTTCACCTTCAGAGACATGGAACAGCTCCGCCTCCAATGAAGCTGCCTCCTCCGTACAGAGCTCCATCTGCGGACAGTGGTGATGAGGAGAGCCAGGAAGATTGTGCTCTGAGCGACAGTGAGTTCCTTTGCATTATTTAGGGTAGATGCAGGATTATTAAATTCTGTTGTCATAACTATTGTGAATCACAAGTACAGGACTGTAGGTCTTCAAAAATGTGCGTGAGCAAGTGTTAAAAATAAAGTTTTATCTTTGAAACTCCTGTGGCTTTTATTTCCTAAACTTTTCTATATGAAATTAACAAAGGATACCTAAGAAGACTATGTTGTCACAGTGCTTTAATTTTACTAAGAAGTTGTGAAACAAAATTGCTAAACCCTGAGAATTGGGGTTCTAACCTTAACCATCTGAGTTGGCTGTAGGGGCTGTAGGGGTTGCTTGATTGCTGTCCTTTAAAGGAGTGCTGCCATGCTCGTGTGAAAGCACAGACTTACTGTGTCATAGTACACAGTGGAGGCATCATGAATTTGTTTCATGATTTTAATTTGTGCATTGAACCAACTAAACATTTTGCAGAGGTTTACTAGAGGCTGTATTTAAAGAAATCACTTTTCTTTTGCAAATACAGTATGTAGTTATGCCTGGTTGTTGTATATGCAGTTTCTTTTGGGATATGGAAGTGGTCTGGAAAGTAAATGGTGACAGTACTGTGCAGTCTGTAAATGTAGCCTCTTCTCTAAGAGTGGTCAGTGCTTCCTGTAGTGATAGTGAGGCTAAAGGAAGTAAACAGGCTTCCCCGAGCCACAGGATCGTCTCCAAAAGGCTTTGCTCTTCCTGTTGCTTTTCATGATTATTAAGCTCACTTTATTCTTTTTATAAACAGGAATAAATAGAAATGAAATGTAAAAATGTAGCTGATACTGAAGTTGACTTTTTGAAAGTTTGACGTATGCTCTGCAGAGCCCTTTGCTGCTTCCTTTTCACTAGTTAACAAAGCTTGCTGAGTGTGATCCACTGTACAGAAAAAGCATCAGCCACAAAATGAATAAACAGCTCCTTTTCCCTTGGTGGAGTCACCAGCTGAGTGAATGAAGTGGTGGTAGGTCAGCCTCGTCTCCTGGAGGGCAACTTATTCCAGGCACGGACAAGTGTGAGCTCACTCTCTTGTTCTCATATGGACAGTAAGGCAGCTGCTTAGAATGTCAATTCTGACCCATCTGTGGCTCATGTTTGCCTATCAGTGGGCATGGATGCCCTACAGCACTCTGCTTCATAGGACTGTTTTAACAGGCAGAGAGTGCTTAAAGGACAGTCCAGTACAGACGGTGGTGGTGCACACCTTTAATCCAGGAACCTGGGAGGCAGAGGCAGGCGGATCTCTGAGTTTGAGGCCAGCCTGGTCCACAAGAGCTAGTTCCAGGACAGGCTCCAAAGCTACAGAGAAACCCTGTCTCAGAAAAGAAAGAAAAAAAAGAAATGAAAAAGAAAGAAAGGACAATTCAGTACTTAGTAAGTACTCTGTTTACCATGTCTCGGGCATCTTTCTGAAGCCTTACTTTTGGCAGCAGTGTGACAACTCCCATCATTGAGCAGAGAAACGGGTTCAGAGTTGTGTCTCAAGTCATGCAGTCATACATAGTAGGACTGGGGTTCTCACCCAGGCACTGTCTAGGGCCATGCTGCTGCTTGAGATGCTTTACAGTCCCGACAAAGGAACTGAGTGCTGAGGTCTTTTTCCTCACATTTGATACCATGAGATTTGCGGAACAGCAGCATCCACATGCACACGTCAGTGAGGACAGGAAGGACCCTGGCTTACACTAAGTATTGAAAGAGCTGTAATTTCTCTTAACTGCGAAACCTTGTTTCATGGTTTCTCCAGCAAGTTCATTTTCGTGTGTCTATGACTCTTCTCTCCATTTCTTTTGTCTGTGATGTTTTTCACCCTCAGTGTGTACGCCCTTCTCATCTTACACACAATTGATTTCACTCTTAGCCTCCAGAAATGCCAAATACCTCACACTTCACCGACAGCCTGAGCCTCTGGCCTCCTGCACTCCCTTTAGAATAGATTTCCGCAGTTCTCTTTGTTCTGTGACTCATACTAATTTAATATTTTGCTCATTTGGTCTAAATTAAAAGTCATTCGGGTTACTGTTTATATCTGTTTTACTATTCCAGAACTCTTTTGTTTGCATTTTACGAAATAAATTTGGTAACTTCCCCAAGGTCTGTGCTGGAAGTACATGGCTCAGATTCAACTGTTGGCCCACAAGGCAGTGCTGACTTATAAGAGAGATCACGGACATGAGATACACATGGCGGCAAAGCCCACTACAGGCTTTGTTAGTTAGCTCTGGAGTTCATATAGGCAATGTTTGTTGGGTGGATGTTATGGGTAGGTGGATACTATTGAGCGGCATTGGGAAAGTGGCTGGGAATGTTCTGTCTTTAGCTAATGTTCTAACAAAGAAGAAAAAGGACAAATACTAAGCTTTGGAATAAAGTACAGAGGAAGTCAAAGTTAAATATAAGGTAAAATACTAAGTACAAAAGGTACTATGAGAAGAACCAGTATATTTTATAAGACCGTGTTAAGTAGAATGCTTCAGAGACTAAGATAGGATCCTCATGACATGGGGTTAAGTGGCCTTATGCATGCAGTCTTCAGGTAGTTGAAAATATTTGGAACCCGCCCTGCAACAAACTCTTAACTGTTAGTCAGCTGTCTCTCCCTGTAAGAAAATTCCTGATGAGGAAGTCAACTTTCAAGAGAAAAAGATTTCTTTTCATTCAGCTTTAAAAGTTTCTGATTAGGTCCCGTCACCTTGTTGATCAGAGCCTGTGTCTGTGTAGCACAAGAGCTGTTCACATCATAGAGGATAGAAGAGAAGGGGGAGGAGGAAATTCGAGCCGTGGGGGATGTGGAATAAGAAAGAGGAGAGAGAATCTGGCTCCCAGTGTCCTTTCCAAGCACACCTAAGGTGTAGAGAGCCTCTTAACGGGGCCATAGACGGCTGCCATGCCTTTAACAACTGAGGCTTTTGGTTTTAGATTTATTTATTTATTCATTTATTATTTAATGTTTCTGAATATATGTATGTGCCATACCATATATACATGCCTGGTGGCCCGCAGAATTCAGAAGAGGGTCTTAGATTCCCTAGAAATGGAGTTATGGATGTTAATGAACCAGCATATGGGTCCTGGGGTCTAAACATGGGTCCTCTGCAAACACAGCAGGTTCTCCTAACCACTGAACTCTCTCCAGTCCTAACAAATGGGATTTTGAGGGACATGTAATGTCTAAACCATGACAACCAGTACAGATGCATCTGTAGAAATATGCATGTATATTTGAGACAAAAGTTGAACAAATACTACTTTACAATGCGATGAATTTTGTTCTTTTTCTATCTCATTTTTGTTTTTTTGTTTTTTAAGTGCTGATTGTTATTGAATTTATTTAATGACCTACTTATAGCTCTCAAATTTCAGGGTTCATGAGAAACTCTTGTGAAGATTGGCAAGGCATTGATTAATAGACTCAAGAGAACTTAGACGTAGGAGGACTTAAAATTAATACTTGTAAGCAACTCTCTGTTGATCCACCACTTCTGACCCAGGAACCACCTTTTGGAAACTATTGATGGGGATGCTAGGTCGTAGGAGCTGATGAATTTACTTAAGAATAATGTGAGGGCTAAAGTGATGGCAAAGGGGTTAGGTATGCACACTGCTCCTACAGTCGGCCTGAGTTTGGTTTCCAGCACCCGTACTGGACAGCTCACAGCCACCTATATGACTGCAGCTCCTGGGGGATTCGGTGCCTCTTGTCTCTGGGAGCGCCTGCACTCTTGCATAACCCAGCAAGCCAGTTTTCAGTAGGCACTTCCATGAGCTCTCAGGCAGTATTTCAGAAAGACTTCCATTATTCGGCTTCAGTGGCTGACCATGATGTGCCGCTGTGGAGGTGAGGATGCTGGAGGCAGGCAGCCACTGAACTTAGCACCAAGTGATTGATGTGGAAGAAGAGAAACAGGATACCTACTAACATAACCTTAGTAAGTACTGCTCACTTTGTTGGGAGAATTAAATTCTACACCCAATACCCACTGCATAGTATATGAGGCATTGGGTTTTAGATGCCTTAACTTGCCTTGTTGAACATATTTTATGACATACTAGAGACCAATTGTAGGTAATTTTGTCATTATAAATTAATCAGAGTTCCTTGAATTTTAATTAAAATTTATGAGACAAGAATTAGGGGGCGATATACCAAATTAGTGTTTAGCTATTAGCAATACTCCTCTCATCAGAGATTGCAGGACCCTCCCCCCCCCACATGACATACACTGATATTGTGAAACTGATGAGTTAGCTTTAGCTGTCAACTTCATATAGCCTAGAGTCGCTGAGAAAGTAGTCTCAACTGCGAGACTGTCCTCAACTGAGGGACAGATCAGACTGGCCTATGGGCGTATTTGTGGGGGATTGTCTGAACTGTGTAATGAAGTTAGCTAACTATGAGACATGCAAGGGAGTCAATTAGCTGTGTTCACCCATGGTCTCTGCTTCAAGTTCCTGCTTGGTTCCTGACCTGACTTCCTCAGTGATGAACTTGACCTGCATGTACAGGCCAAAGAAATCCTTTCTTCTGTTGTCATGGTGTTTGTCACACCAACAGAAGGCAAACTAGAATAGTATGGGATAGCTTTACATACAAAACTGGATCACCAAGGGCATGGAGACCTCACTTCCTCTACAGTGACTTCTGGATCTGTTTCAGTTCTGTCTCCCACTCAGATTTTCATTTGTCTATGAGAAAGATGCCCTGAATTTTTTTTCACTAGCCCTGTACATCCTCTCAACAAAATGAGGCCGGGCGGTGGTGGTGCACGCCTTTAATCCCAGCACTCGGGAGGCAGAGGCAGGAGGATCTCTGTGAGTTCGAGATTAGCCTGGTCTACAGAGCTAGTTCCAGGACAGGCTCCAAAGCCACAGAGAAACCCTGTCTCGAAAAACCAAAAAAAAATAAATAAATAAATAAAAAAAAGAAAAAGAAAGAAAGAAAATGAAACATTAAGTTCTGCCCAAGGCTGACCTTTTAGTTT